ATCCTGGGTTATCTGAATAAACCTTAAATGTCATCGCAAAGGTCCTTAAAAGGTCAGAAGGAGGCTCGGCACAGAAGAGAGAAGACTATGCGGGACTTGGAGATTTGAAAATGCTGTGCCCTTTGGCGGTGGAGGAAGCTGCCTGAAAGCTAAGGGGTGAAGCTCCAGGGGCTTCAAAGGACAAGGAAGGGAATGTCCCCTAGAATCTCTGGAAGAACTGACGCCTTGCTGTCATCCTAGTGAAAATGATTTCAGACTTTTGACCTCCAGAACTATAAGTGAATCGATATGTGGTAAGCCACCAACTGTGTGGTGATTTGTTATAGCAGCCACAGGAAAGTAATATACGCCCCCTCCATGGCGGGCTGGGTGGCCCAGTCTGTCCTTCATGCCCGCAGGCTTCGGAGCCACTGGGGAGACTGGACGCAGAGTCCAGAGGCACTTAAGTGCACCCTGCATTCCTTGGGGGCTCTCTACTGGAATGTGGGGGAGCAGAAGACTAGGGGATGGGGGTGAAGAAGCTGCTTATTGATTGACAGGTAAATGTGGTGACAGCTTTCCTGGGGGAATGTGACTACCCGAACTTAGGTATGTACGGGCGGTGGGGGGGGGGGGGGGTCTATTAGCCTGGATCCTTATCTTACTTCAGACACCATTTGTTCATCTTGATGTAAAACAGATATGTGACAGGAGGCAGCTAATTAAAGTCGGGGCAGTTACCCAGAGTTACTTATGGGCTCTTTCTGCAAGCATTAGGGACTCCTCGTAAAACAGATAATGACCAGAGGCAGGCAATTAACCAAAGTCGTTTTGTGGGCTGGTTCTTTGGACACTGTGGGCCCCCTCCTGTGCTAACATGAGGTTTCTTATGATGTCGGAACACCTGGCAATAACAGATGGGGCGCAGGCCTGCTGAGTTAGTGGGTGAGGCATGTGTCCCCTCCTCCCTGCCTTGGTGCACTATCCGTCCCACCTAAGTGCCGAAAGGCGTTTCCTGGCAACCAGGACACACTAGTCACGGGCCAGCAACAGCAGTGCAGTCTCGGAGTCCCTCCTATGCTAGCTCCTGCCTCAGAAATGCTGGACAAAGGATGATTCACGTCCCAGATGGGAAGGAATAGGGAGGAGCAGGATTTCATCACACTGCTCAGAATAGCACGGAATTTAAAACTCATCGGCTGTTTACTTTGTGAATTTTCTATTTAACATTTTCACAGCACAGTCGATCACAGGTACCTGGAAGTACAGAAAGCCAAACTGCCGATAAGGGGGGAACTACTATCATTTCAAAACATTTCCATCACTCAGAAATAAAACCCACATCCATTCCTCCCTCCAGCTCCTGGCAACCAGTGGTCTGCTTTGTGCCTCTGCAGTTTTGCCTCTTTCTGACATGTTACATACATGCAATCATATAACATGGGGCCTTGTGCGACTGGCTTCTGTCATTGAGCATCATGCTCAGGGTTCAAACATGTTATGCTGTAGCCTGCATCAGTACTTCATTCCTTTTTTCCCCGTTTCCCCCCCAACATGTTGGGGGGTGGGAGGAAGGACAGCCCTGATTTCCCCTGTGCTTCTCCATAAATCATTTTCTTACCCCTGCCGCAAATCACCCCAAACCCTCCACAACTCTCATGAAAAACAAAACGGTCCCATCTCAGAAGCCGTCTCTGTTTCCGACACTCCCTTCCTCTGAAGCAATGAAGCAGAGAGCGTCTGCCCCCTGGGACTGATTCATTCACACAACAAACGTTTATTGACGGTCTGCTTTGTGACGTGAACTATGCTGGGTGCCTTCCTCGACAAAAAAAGAGTTCTCTGTTCTCCTTGAACTTCCATTTGAGTGGCAAGAAAGGAATAATGAATAACCAGATTAAACGGTACGCTGCAAGGTGGTAAGTACTATGGAAAAACAGTAAAGCACAGCAGGCAGGGCAAAGAATACATACAAAGGGGACCACGATTTTAAACAGGGTGGTCAGGGGACGCCTCACCAACATAGTGCCTTTCGGGAAAGGAAAGGGAAAACCTAGGGAGAAAACTGTGCATTAAAAGCCCCTTGGTGGCTCTTCTTTGTCCCCAACATAAATTCCTGACTTTGAACATGACGTTAACCACTCCACCATTCTTAACCAGAATGAATGGGGTTGAACTTAAGACGCAGTGGATTTCTGTCCTCTGGGTTCGATCCCCAGCTCTGGTGGAGGCTACCCTGCACACGGCCTTTGGGTGGGTCATAGCCTGGCTCCAGCTTCTCTGGCACAAATTCTGATGCAAACATGTTCTGCTGTCTCCACTCTCCGACCAACATCAAACGAACACACACTCCCTGTGCCACATACGGCAACATAATGCTCCTCACATTTTAATACAAAATACTTGAGGTTTGTGGGAGAACCTGGGAGGTCAGCTAAATGGCACTACATGGAAAACATGCAAAAGTCAGCCAGGAAGTGTTCCACTCCAACTTCAAGCTCACTTATAACTGCGGATCAATGGCATGTAAAGGAGCGGTTAGTAGTCATTCATTCTGGAAACCCTTTCTTGCGGCCCAGAGAGAGAAAGAGTGGCACCCTTGGGGGTCACAGAGCCTGATTCGTGTATCAAGGCCATTCTGCAGCAATAAATAACATTTCATGCGTGTGGTCTTTTTGTGAGACCTCAAGTTCCTCTACTGAGCGCCTCAGAAGGAGAAATGACTGCTTGGATTTCCCCTTCACCCCGTGACCGTGGATGAGCTGAGCACCCCAGTTAAAGGGCCCTTTGCCCATCTCTGCGACACCTGAGGCAACGCCATCTTTCCTGCCTGTGGACTTGCTGGGAAGGAGGGTCTAGGTGTGTCCTGGGGGGGAAGGGGGGGGCTGATTCTCTGTTGTTCCCGCGGAGAAGGGCATCCACGGCTATCAAAGTATAAAACCCAGAAAGAATCTCTTGCCACGGACCAAGGTTAGATGGCTGTGGGGTGATTTCGGGAGCAGGAATTCTATGGTTGGCTCCAGTTCTCTGCTTGGGAGCTGGAGCAGCAGAGTCTCCAGTGGCTCAGAGAGAAAGGGGACACTTTCAAACTTGAGGGCTAAGTGTTAAAACCATAACACTCTTGAGGAAGTTAGAACTAAGTGTGAGAGTCATCAGATTGTGACAAAGCCAACAAAAACAGTCAAAGGAAGAAAGCTGTGTTACAAATCCTTTAATCAGGGTTGGGGGTTGGGGAATGCACAGGAGCGTGCTTATGTGAAGGTCAAGGCTTCTTACTCCCACTTCCCAGGTGGGGCCCAGAGAGTGAAACATTACCCCTAAATCATCAAATCCCTCTCAAGCTCTGGGGGCCTACATGCCTCAAGAAATCCAAAACCCTTCCTCCCATTACTTTCTCCACACCTCCCTCCCAGACCTCCTCACAGTGCCCAAGTCCTGGAGTCTTTCTCTGAAACTGCCTGCCCCAGTCCCTGACTTCCCTCTAACTCCCACTGGCTTTCAGGTTGAGACCCTCAGAATCCCTGTACCTTCAGCAAGTGGCTTGATATGTTGCAGTTGCTTTCCCGCACAGGACGAGAACAGTTGCCGCTAAGGAAGACAATTGCTACCATTCATTGAGCAAGCTACCACTACCCGGTTCTGTGCTGAGAATTAAAAAAAATTTTCAGCGAAGTCCTTTTTATTGATTTCACTAGAAATGACTTTATTGATTAAAGCACCAGGAATTGTCAGCACAGGATTTAATATCTTATTGACCCCGCAGGCCCCTCTGGAGTGTGCTGTACCTCCCCCAGTCCTTAAAAAATTTCGAGGGAGAGGCCTCAGGAACAGGGACCGAATCCAGTAGTTTCAGATAATCCCTTCCCAGTTATAGACAAGATGCTCAATTCTTGTCCAGAGCAGGAAAGAGACAGTATTTCAGAAAAATCTAACAAAGAATGTGACGTTGCATTATAAGATCTCTCTTAACAATTTATTTCTCAGCAGCATTGGTCCAAACTTATTTGCTTCTGGTCTAAATTATTTTTTCAACTACTTTGTTGGTATGTATGTAATTTTAATAAATAGTCCCATTCCCCGCGCAGAAATGAATTGACTCAGTGCCAAGAAAAATCCCTCAAACTGGAATAGCCTCATTTTGCTCTTGGAAAAAGGATATAGGTTTTTCTGCTCCTCTTCTATTCAAGAATTGAACAAATCTCCCCACCCCGAAGTCAAAATTGTTATTCCTGGCCTTGGAATGTGCAGTTTATGATCGGCTGATTCAAATCACCTAGGAAGGGCAGCTGCGGAACTCTTACACAGGCTGCCTTCTTTGTAACTTTGTTCTTAAAATCGACTTGAGAGTCGTCCGTGGTTGTGTACACAGCTCTGCAGTCCAAACAGTTCCTGCTATCCCATCTCGTGAGTTAGGCTCCGAGGAGGCTCTGGAATTGTCTGGAGTGAGAGCAGCAGCAGCAGTGGCCCCACGAAGTAAGACCTCAGTAACTCAAGGCTTGTCAATAATCCGGGCTGTCCAGGTTTCCTTTTCCACAATGTCCACGATCCATGCTTGGAAAAACTCCCCAGTCTTCCAAACTGGATGCAATGGACAGACAACACATAAAAATAGAAATGACAATAAGAAAAAGTTTACCGCCCTAGCAAGCAAACAATTACAAATTAAACAAATCGTGTGTTGCTTTTTGCTAATCAGGTTTTTTTAAATAGTTACATTCAAAGCTTGGGAGATCATTTCTTTACAAATAATTTGTTGTTATCGCCACAGGATAAAGTTTTCCATTTTTCAACTCAACATGAGTTACGCTTCCCATAATTTATTACAAGGAGTCATAAGTATTTTATGATAATTGCGAAGGCAAGTCAAGTGCAAAACAGTAAGGAACCAAACGGAACGCAGGAGGCAGCCCCGCAACGCAGCGCGGCCGGGGATCCGGGGCTCGGCGGTGAGTGCGGGCCAGCGGGACCACAACTCCCAGGCGCCCGTGCGCCCGCCGCGCCCCGGCCACGTGACTGTCAGGCTCAAGTCGTGCTGAGCTGCCGCGCCTGTAGAACTCGGAACAGAGAGACCAGAGCAGGCAGATCTGTCCCGGGCGCAACCCCTGGCGCGCTCACCATGGAGGTGAGTCTGGGCGCCGCGGAAAGAAGCGGGCGCCGGGTAGGCGGCCCGGGCCGAGCCCCTCCAGCTGCAGCTCCGGGCCCCGTGGGGTGCCCGGCGCCCGTGTCCGAGGGCTGATCAGGGGGGTGTGTTGGAAGCGTTGTCAACAGCAAGAACTGGATTGGGGAGAGGCGAGAGTTAGGGCTGGAGGTGGCTGTTGGGTTTTCTTTTTATTTCTCCCTCCTGCTGGGTCGAGCGGTTAAGGAGCACCTGCTGTGTAGCAGCCGAGGGTGGGGGCGCAGTGGGCGAAGGCAAGCCAGTTCGGTAACCCCCTGCCCAGGGCGCAGCGCCTGGTGAAAACGCCGGGGAGGCTTCTAGGAAGAGGAGGGAAGCTCGGTGCATTTCAGCCTGCTACGAGGCGCACACTCCCTGGGGCAATTTCCCTGTCTTGGCAAGTTCGTGGTTTGATTTGGCGCGGGAGAAGGGAGGGAGTGCGTGTCGGGGACGACAGCCAGACCAGCTGCTTTCCATCCTCCCTAAACGTGGGTCAGAAATAGCGTTACAGATTAACTGTGTTTCTCGGTGGAGTTCACCTGGGCTGCAAGGAATCACAGCTTGCAAAGCTTTTTGGTCTTTGAAAAAAATCATGTAATTTTCTTCATTAAGAATGCCGTGAATTTAAGATATGGGAAAGCAAAACAGGTGAAAAATACGGCTTTCACCTGGTCAAAGCCGCCTTCCCCCGCCCGCCACCTGCTGCGGGCCTGTAAAAGGGGAGATAGTTGAGCACAAGCACCCCAGGCAGTCCCAGCCAGACAGACACCTTAATCTCCCCTAAACTCTTTGGTTTACATATGAGGGAGATTTTCCTCAAAGTATAAGTGATGTCCCTCAAACGAGAAAACAGAGACGAAAAGTCCCCTGATTGCTCTCTCCTTCAGCACAGCCCGTCCCTACTCCGGGTGGGGCCCTGAATACAGCAGATAAAAGCTAAACTCAGCTGCTTAGGGCTGAGATTCATCCTAAACGGGAAAGATTAGAGCCCTGCCCCTTGGTATCTGACCACAGAGCCTTTTAATTGAACACTGCAGCCCCTGCTCAGAGAGGGCTGCTTTGAAACAACTTCTCCAGTGAAAAGGCCAGAGTAGGGAAGGCTTTGTGTCCCCTGCTCAGCCCCACCCAGCGCCTTTGGGTGGGCACCTTCAGCTTGGAACTTGTTAGACTGTCTTCCCTGGACTACCACCTGCTCTTTCTGCTTCAGAAGATGTTCTAGCCACCTGTCTCCGAGGCTGGCTTAGGCAGCCTCTGCCACCCCTGCTGAAGGTCTCCCATGTGCCTCCCTCTCACGGACTACATACACCGTGTTGTAATGACCTGATCACTGCCCTCTGCCCTAATACATTGGTCCCTAGCCTTTTTGCCACCAGGGACCAGTTTTGTGGAAGGCATACTTTCCGTGGACTGGGGCGGTGGCAGGATGGGGGGGGGGGCACAGGAGGAGGAGCTCAGGTGGTAATGACAGGGCATCCATAAGCCAGAGGGGGAGGTTGGGGGCCCTTGCCCTAATAGACTGTGAGCTTCATGAGGGCCAAGCCCTTGTCTCCCTCATCTCTATCTCCAGCATCTGCACCCTAGCACAACAAAAGTAAATGTTTGTTGGTCAAGTTGATTTTACTGTGTTGTGGGTATTCAGGTCGACAGGAAGTGGTATGGGACATCTGAGGTAGCTGGCCCAGCCCCAAGGATGATAGAAGGAACCCAGTTAGGGAAACTTGCTGATGAACTAGCCATTGAGGAGAACATTCCGGGCATGCCAACTGCTAGATCAGGTGAAGTCAGAGAGGAGGTGATGTGGCCACACCCTCCTCCACCCCCACCACAGAGACCGACAGTGCCAGGGGCTTTGGCCACCCCACTGCAGAGATGATCTGGGGCTTCTGCTGGGTTGAACGAATGCAGCTCCAGCAGAAATGGAGTTTCGCAGGATTATTTGTGCCTGTTTGTTTTGTATCTCTTTGTGAACACTTTTCCATGCCAACAAATACTCTTTTTAAATCTTAATAAAGGGTATCTCTGCATAGGACTCCAAATTAGTATTACTTTCTTTCTGGTACTGTTTCAGTTTCTTTACACTGAACAAGTACCACTTTCATATTAGGCAGATAAAAAGTTTTATTTTAAAATTCTTCAACCTGATTTTTAAAAGACTGCCTAGGTTTCCATTTTCTTTTTCCTGTGTTTTTTTACATCTCAGATCAAGTTTATTCATCACTTTTAGAGAAGATTTAGAATTTATAGATTTATTTTTATTGTTGTTCAAGTACAGTCGTCTCCACTTGCCCCCCACCACACACCCCTGCCCCTCCCGCCCCACCTCCCACCCTCCGTTCTTCCCCGATTTGGCTCTGCCCATAGGTCCTTTATACGTGTTTCTTGACGCCCCTTCCTCCCCATTTTCTTCTTATGAGGTCTTGAACAAATCCCTTGCCCTGTCGGTACTCCCTTTCCCCGTCTGGAAGTGAGATGTGGGCGGAGAGGGGCTGGCGTTGGACCGGGTCCGTGTTTCCCACACAGAGTGCAGACCTCCCTCCCTTCGCACCCAGAGTCCTGTGTTTTATGTAGTGGACTTACAAGGAAGATTTTATTTGCCAATGTTCCCTGGAAAAAAACGTTGTAAGCCAGGGAACTAAAAACTCTCTGAGAAAATAAATAAAATAGATCTCAAAAGTTCTTATCTCAAGGAAACACTATGGTAACTGTGGTGTGGTGATGAATGTTAACTAGACTCGTATTGTGGTGGTTATTTCGCAATATGTACATCCACCCATCAAACCATTGTGTCTACCTCAAAACAATATAATGGTATATGTCAATTATACCTCAAGGTTACAAACAACTCTCTGAAGATGCTGTCAGCTCTGACGGTGGAGGGTTCTAATATTTGGCTGTTGTCTCAGAAGGCAAAGGCCCAACCCAGCCAGGATCTCCTTAGTGGGGTGAACACAGTGTTTGCAGAGCTGCTGCTTCCGGCTGAGGTTTTATCTGGTGATGAAAGGGGGACTTCCCTTCCCTGAATTGATCCTTCCGGCTTTTCATCTTGCCAAACACAGCCAGTGAGCCTGATGTGGCCATTCAGGATCACCATGTAGTTCCCATCCCATAATGCAGGCAGCAGGTGTACTGGAGTGCACCTGCTGGGCATCCAGTGAGTCCCAGGTTTGAATCCCAGCTCTGCCAACTTAATCGCCTTGTGAACTTCAGCCAGTGACTTAACTTTTCTGACTTTAATTCCCCCATATTTCCTTTCTGTGTGATGCGCCTAATTGCCCCTGTCCCACAGAACATGGCTGTGAAATGAGATGATGTATGAAAGCCCTTGATGCCTCCTAGAGCAGCAGGCGGACCGGGCGCTCTTTGAGAAGAGCAACGGTGTGGTGCATGTTCACTGCTTCTCCCGGCACCGTTTCTGATGTGGACTGCAGACTGAGGGCAGCACCCTGGGCCTCTCCGTGATACGCACCACTGCAGCTGAGTGGCGTGGCCCTGGGAGTGAGCAGAGGCATTGGTCCTCAGCCCGGTGCTTCCCCACTGGGTCTGGAGGGCACGAAAGGCGTTTCAGCCTGGACTAAGAGCAGTGTGGCCTGGATGGACCTATGATGATGGACAACTCCCCCCACTGACCTTGACTTCCACCTGGACTGGAGCTAACTCAGTTATAGCTCTGCTGTTGACTTCCTGTGGGACCTTGGGCAAGCAAGTCCCTGCCCTGTCTGGCCACAGGGGGCCCCGATTGCCACTACTGGCCCCTCTAGCACTAAGTCCAGTGACCCCATTTTCCTGGGTCTTTTAGAAGAGGATGCTTGAGACCATTAGGGACCACAGCTTCCACTGCCCTCAGCCCGCTGTGACGCAGACTCCCTTCTCTTTCAGATGCATTTCATCTTCTCAGATAAGGTGGTGCTTCTGTTTGATTTCTGGAAAGTCCACAGTCCTGCAGGTAAGAATTGGGAGGCCTGGGTTGTTCTCTTTATTGGTATGCTCTGTGGACGTTTAAGTGAGCCTGACTCCTCTTGTATAAACGTTGAGTGGGAACTTTGCAGCCACTGCTCTTCGGATTGCAAAGGGGCCCATTGTCCCACGGATCCTCTCTACAGCCTAGAGAGAGGCCAGGGATGCAGCTCCTCCCTCTGTTACAGGGAAGGACCTGAAGCCCACAGAGGGGAAGAGACTTATCTAGGGTCACACACGGAGTAAGAGTAAACGTCAGAACCAGAACTAGTTCAAGGCCTTCTGTTGCCTCTAGCACCTCCCTCATCCAGGGTTCACTGTGCAGCATGAGCTCAGGAGCCCAGAGCAGCTGCTGCAGCCTGGGGCCTGAATGAAATGAGACACCAGTTTAAAGAAAAGGGTATTCCTTTGACTTGAAAAGGCAGAATTGTTTCAGCTTAAGTAACTTAATCTTAACAATAGACTGGAAACAGCCCAAATGCCCTTCATTATAGATGTGGATCAGATAAATTATGGTCATCCCTACAGTGAGTTACCATTCCAGTACTCTATTATGGAACAAACCAAATGGCTTAAAACACCAGCAGTTGTTTTATTATTGCTTTTCAAGGTTCTGAGTTGATTGTGCTCTGCTAAGTGGTCCTCCCTCACTCAAAGTCTCACATGCAGGTATGGTCAGGGGCTGGAAAGGGGGTCGCCTTGAAGACTTCCTCACCTAGGTCTACTCATTGATGCTGGTTGTTAGCTAGAACCTCAGTGGGGGTGTTGTCTGAACACCTACGGCCGAAGCTTCTTCCTGGCAGGGTGCCTGGGTCCCAAGAGCAAGTGAGTGTCCCAGGAGAACAAGGGGGAAGAGCACGGGATTTTTAAGACCTAGCCTTGGAAGTCACAGAGCATCGCTTCCGCCTTCGTTGACCGAGGCGGTCAGAGAAGTCTTTCCAGGTTAAGAGGGAGGGAACACAAGCCCCATTACTTCTTGGCAGGAGTGTGGGCACTGTAAGAAGAGCATATGGGGTGGGATGTAGTGAGGTGGCCATCTTTGGAAAATACAGTCTATCACAGATACTATGAAGCCACAGAAATAAGGTAGATGGGTGGGAACTAAGGGGAACCCAGGTGGATGAAGTAAGATACAGAAGAGTATGCACAAATAGAATGCTGTTATTCAGACATATAAAGTGAGTGTATGGAACACAGTTTATTCTTGTGTTATTATTAATTATTGTATTATTTTCTATAAGAACGGTAAGCCTACCTCGGCCCCATCTTGTACACTGTATATCCCTAGCAGGCTGTTCAGGGAATTGCTAACAGAGGCTGCTCTGGGGAGGGGAAGTTTGGGAGACTGGTCTAAGAAAAAGACTTACTATATTTTTGCCATGCATAATGTGCACTTTTTTTGCCCAAATTTTTGAGGGAGAAATAAGGATGCACATTGCACATGGATATAATGATTACATACCATGGGTATAATAATGGGCATAATAATCCCGTATATAATGTGCACAAAAACATGGGTGTGGATTATACATGGCAAAATACGGTACTTTTCACTGCATACCCTTTGCACGGTTTGAATAGATACCCTGTGCTCAATTACTTGCAATTTTATGTTTTAAAAACCTGCCTCTTTTGCAAATGATGTCCTCCTGGGACCCCAATAAAATACTATAGCTGGACCATTTAATATCCCTCCATTGGTACTGGGTTGGCCAAAAAGTTGGCTTAGTTTTTTTCATGCATTGGCCCTAGTAGCACTTAGTTGTCTTTAATTTCATTCGAAACAGTTTTGTTAGATTGTATTGTGACAGCTGTCATATCAGCATGCATTAAAAAAAATCCAGATTGGTGACTTTTTGTGTATCCATTTTAATATTGAAGATGGAAGGAAATATGCATCATTGCGTTTTATTATTTCAAGAAAGGTAAAAACGCAACTGAAATGCAAAAAAAGACTTGTAAGGTGTATGGAGAAGGTGCTGTGACTGATCAAATGGGGCAAAAGTGGTTTGCGATTTCTTATACTATTGACATTTTGGCTAAATAATTCTTTGCTGTGGGGCTGTCTTATGTATCAGAATATCCAAATCGATAAAGTTGTTGGTAAAAGTGAAAAATGTTTTTTATGGAAAAAACCCTACGGACCTTTTCGCCAACCCAGTACAGCAGAAGTAGCAATTAGCAGTTGATTTTACACAGCAGTTCTAGTAAACACTTAATGTTTTTGGTAAAACCATGTTTTTTCCATTATGAAAGTAATAAACATGTCAAACTTGGAAAGATGAAGTGAGAAGAAAATAAAAAATCTGTATCCGAATTTGCGGAGATAATTCCTTCCTTTCAGACTCTTCTGTGTACACACATGTAAACAGGACCCCGCTCTGCCCTCGACAAGCAGTCCCGACAGAGATCTGTGCCGCCAACTGAGGGCGCAGCCCTGTGCGGTGGTGTACGGCTCTTCACTCCTGGCCCCTGGCTTTTCCAGGCAGCTGCCCTTCCCAGTCTCAGAACCAAACTGCAGTGGGCCAGCCCTACCAAGAAAGGGCTACTGGGGGAAAGAGTGCAGAAGCTTTGAGCCCAAAACGGGCGAGAAGAAACTGAGACAGGAAGGTGGAATGGATTCAGAGGGAATGGGTGGGAAGCTGCCAGCAGGGCAGCAGTGCTTGCCTTGCTAGCTAGGTCTCTGCAACTCCACTTCCTTTGCCAGGCATGGCTGTTTCGGTGTTGGTGGTCCTGCTCCTGGCTGTGTTATACGAAAGCATCAAGTTTGCCAAGATTAAGCTGCTCTACCAGACTCTGGTGAACATGCCCACCTCCACCAGTGAGCGGCCTGAGGGGACAGACCAGGATTCTTCAAGCTCGGAGTCACCCCTAGTCAGCAGACCCCGATTCAGGTAACAGGCACGGGGTGGGGGTGGGGGGTGAAGGTGAGGAATGGGCAGAGTACTCACATTCATCTTGAGAGGGAGACCGGGCTCACAGGGCATTCACCCCATGACACAGAAAGGAAACTGAGGCCTCGGGAAGGACCAGGGTTTGCCCGAGTGCTTACAGTTAGTGAGCATCGTGGTGAACAGGAGCTCAGTCTCCCGATGCCCAGGCCAGACCTTGCTCTAGGAACAGCCCCTTGGGAGGCTCAGATCTTCAGAACTGGTGCAGGCCTCAGTCGGGCAACAGGGGTGTCTGCCCAGCCCCAAGTCACTAAGACTTCCAAACCCACGATGGGATCTGCAGCTGGCCCCACACAAATGGGGAGGATTGCTCTCAGCATTGTATCCGTATCGGTGCCCTTTCTTCCCTTCCCATTCTGGTAGGGCAACCATTTGGGGTCCCAATTCTGCCCTCTCCCCAACTCCAGCTGTGTAAATTGAGCCTGCCTGCTCCTTACATGGGTGTCTCAAATAGTCACCACCATCCTCCAAGGGAGGTATTTCTATTTGTTTTACTGATGATGACATTTTAAACCATTTGTGCTAAGACAGAACTAGGAGTTGATCTGCCCCGGAGTCCATGTTCATGCCATTTTAATACTGCTTCTTAGGATAGATTCAGGAAGGAAAGAAGTCTGCCTTTCTGATGATTTTGTATCATCTCTATCAGGCATATCTCATTTCCCCTTTTGCCTAGGGTGCCAGGAAGCTCAGAACTGAGTAGCAAAGTGATTGTCCTAGGCTTCTTGTCCAAGTTCCTTTCCCGTGTCAGTGGTTTCTGATATGTCTCTTTAAAAAGAAACCGGTTTTGTAACTCAGCTGTCCTTCCTACTTCGGACACCAACTCTTAGCTTTCACCTTATTACAAACATTAACTTGTCTCTCCTTTTTATCTAGGTGGGTTTTGTCTCACTTTGGCCAGTCTCTAATGCATGTCGCTCAGGTGGTCATCGGCTACTTCATAATGTTGGCTGTTATGTCCTACAACACCTGGATTTTCCTTGGCGTGGTCCTGGGCGCAGCCTTGGGCTACTACCTCTCCTACCCGCTTCTCAGCATAGATTAGCCCACAAGGGCCGTGCAGGCGCTGAGCACTGGAGAAAGCTGGGTGCCCCCTCCAGTCATCGCACTTTCAGGCCCAAGTCTCCTTTTTCTTCTGATGGATGGTACTCACCTCACTCCCAGCTCCTAGAAATTTTCAGCCAAAGCCAGCACTTGCTCCCTGGAGTTCAGAGGCCACTGCAGCTACCTCTCCTCAGACAGCCCGCCCAGGGCTAGTCTTGCGCCTTAGCAGGCTGCTGTGACTAGCGGGAGAACGGAGAGGACAGAAACCAGAGGCAGGATTGCGGAGCCTGTGCTGACTTATCTGTGACTCAAAACTTAAGAGTTCCCAAAGATCTCCAAGACCAGGAGGCAGGTTCTGGGTTTAAGCACCCAGAACCTGGCCACCTTTCACTCTGCTGATTTGTGCCTTACCTAGACGAGCATCTTCCCCTTGCACGTCCTGTCCTCGTCTGTCTTTGGGGGACAGGGACTAAGCTGGCTCCTTTTTCTCACCCTCTGCCTTTGGAACGTGAAGATTGTTTCTTCTGTGGATCACACTGACAAACTAAGATTTTTCACTTTTTCCCAGTGAACTCCTGGTTGGCAATTTTGCACAATAACACAAACAAAAATTTTAATTAAATTATTTCATTTCATTCATGATAGATGGCAGCATTTGCTGGGACTGGTTTCCCCTTCCTGGGGGGAGAGTAAGTGACAGGAGATTAAAGGCAGAGAAGCAGGACTGCAGCCAAGACTCCTGCGGATGGAGTGAGCTCCTCCCGTCAGGCCGCACGGCTGCCGTGGTCTGGGAGCTCTCCTTGGACACCCCTCTCTTCCTGATCCTCCTCTTATGCACAACAGAGAACTGAACTGAACAATACTTAATGCTTTTTATTTATTACTTGCTGCTCACCCATAACAAACATGATTTATTCACTTAAAACATTGAGTAAGCCATGAGGTGGGGGGTGGGGGGGGAATGACTGAAGATGCAATAAGCAGTCAAACCAAAACGTTACATTTGTAGAGAGAGATGAGACTCTCGATATCTGAACCTTTTCACTTTACAGAAAAGGCAACAGGAGACCCAGGGAGGAAAAACCACTGCTGTGTACTGTAACATTCAGGCTCCAGTACCTCACGGGCTACAGGAAAGACGGTCTTAAGCTTTTGGAATTAAAAAAAATAATTTTAATAAATATATATTTTTAAACAGTGTGTGATCTGTCTTCTGTTTCTCTTCAAACAGCAGGCACACGGAACAATGGCAGGAGCAGAGTGGGCGAAAGGAGCTGGCAGGGCTGGCCGTAGGGCGCTCTCGGGGCCCAGTCTGTCCGTCTGCTACAAAGACAACCCTGGGCTCAGGGAGGCGCCAGCCCTAAAACCCTGTGCCCACAGGCAGACACCCCAGTGCCAGGCTAGTCAGGAGTCATTCTTTGGCTCGGGTAACAAACAGTGATTGGGCACCACGAGAAAGATAACTGACAGGGACTACAAACACCTACGTTGGCGTAACTACAAGCACTGAGCTTTCCCTGAGGGCAGAGGCAAAAGTACATCAAAACCACATTTTAACTTACAATCAGAAGTAACTAACAACGTAGAGTACGTGGGGCCTTCAGCACACTCTCCACACTGGAGGGAATCAGGAAGCTGCTGAAAGGCACAACAGGTCCAAGATTTCCAGGGTCCTGTGCAGTCCTGCCTATGGAGCCTCCAGCGCGTTTTTAAGTCCTGACCTCGGTGTCCTCCCTCAGGTACCACTCCCTCCTCGGGGGCGCTGTAACCCGTCAGTTTGATACAGTCACATCTTCATGTATGTGTGATGCATTTAAGGCTTTTTATAGAACAGAGGGCTTAAAAACAAATCTGTGTGCTAGAGAGACTGATTGCATGCTTAAGATTCAACACAAATTTTGTAAATCAACGCCTGGTTAGCACTTAGCATTTCCGGGCCGTGTTCTAAGCACTGAACAATATTAACTCATCTACTTCTCACAACAAGGTAGGAACTTCCTGTCCTTGTCTTAGGTGAAGCAGCCGAGGCACAGAGAAGCTAAGCCACCCTAGTAAGGAGCAGAGCCAGGCTTCCTCTCTAAACGGGGACGACAGTGTCTTCTGCAAGGGTTGCTGGAGGTGGGGCAGTGTATGAAGTGCTCAGCGGCAGTGCCTATTTGTTAAACAACGAAGTTCTGTAAATGGTAATTCCTGCTGCCTCCCAGCCCCGCATCTGGGGACAGACTCAAAGCTGTCATTGCAGAGGATGACATCAGGCAGACAAAGTGGAGTTCAGGTTCCTATCTTATAAACTTAAAATCAGGACCATTATTACTAAAACGATTCCACATTTTGAAGACTGCATGGTCTCTGGAAGATTCTGAGGAAGTACAAACATTTCTCACTACTGTTTTCTTCGGTAGTCCTGGCCCCAAATTCAGAGGGAATGGCAGCTGCTCTGCAGGTGAAGAATCCTAGTTGCTGTGACAGATGGACCGCAGGGCCCTCCTACCTTCCCTGCGTGGCTGTCCAGGGCACAGGGCCAGGCATGCAGGAGCAAGGGGACGGCAGAAGTGGTCCTCAGAGAACCACAACGTCCTAAGCCTCACACTAATGCTGGGATGAGCTGGGGCAGCAGGCGCTGATCTGGTTCCGAAGCCTGAAGGCCCAGGGTCAGATGCCAAAGGGAATATGTCACAACGGTTTGTGTGTGTGAACTGGCCCGGGTCTGTTACCACTGCTACCTTGAGATTCCCAGAGAGGGGTGCAGACAGCCTTGGGAACCAGATTCCTTTCTCCCCAGAAGTTTGAGTCATGTTTCATTACAGATATTTATTTTGGTTTTTTTTTTTTTCTAACTTCAAAGACTTAAGGCAGAGAAGACAATGTGTCAGGACTGTAGGCAAGGCTGTTAACTGAATGGGGGTTCGGATGGTGTAGTCCGCCCTTGGGTCTACCAGGGTGGCCTCACCCCAGGTGACAGGCCCCAGTGCTGGGAGACAGAGGCAGCCTCCCCGCAGCAGTCCGGGAGTTAGGGAAGAGATTGAAGAGCTTGGAAGAGGGCAGGACTCTCATGGGTGACGACTGGGGAGGAAACCACCAGCCCTTCCTCCAGATGGGACTCGGAGGCATGACCAGGGTCAGCTGCTGCCAACTCCGGCATTCTGAAGACAGGCCCGCGCTCCTCTTCCCCCAGCCAGGCAGGGGCTCAGAAGCTGGCTAACTCGGGTACCTGGGCTACTGTCCTCAGAATGCTCCCCTTGGCCTCTCCCTGTGGCTCACCCAGACCCAGGGCTGGCTGTGCAAAACATGCTCAGGGGAGGGTCAGTAGAGAAACCTTTGCATCAGGTTCCTGGGTCTTCATCCCAGCCAGTCAATGTCATCGTCATCGTCATCTTCGAAAAGGGGTGTTGGGGGCGGGCGTCCCTTCATGCTCTGACAAAACAAAAAAGAGCAATCAGTCCTCACTTGTTCCTGCGCCAGACGGACTTCCCACCTCTGCAAGGTGCAGTGAGCTGACACCCCTTCCGGCTCCAGGATGGAAAGAAGCTGGTTGGTTAGGATTTTACTGAATGAACTGACCCTGAAGCCAGCAAACCTAGGGCTCCAGATAAAGCTGAGACAGCAGGCAGAGAAGGGAAGCACTCTTTCAACAGAGACAAGAAGACCAGCATTGGCTAATTTTGTCATTTATTTGTGAAACATACTGATTTGACAGGTTTCCTCTCACGCAATAACTTACACATTTCATGTGGAGAAAGGGGAGTTGAAGGGGAGAGAGGGAAGGAGGACAAAGAAGCAGAGCAGACTGGCCCTAAGGGAGGGCAGGATGCAGGAGGATGAAGGCAGGGTGGAAGCATACAGTAACATTTCATCGGAGAGCTGCACTGAGAGGTCTGACCACACCAGCACGTGGAGAATCCCAAGAGACGAAGTCAGCCCAGAACACAGGGCCGCAGCCTCCCACTCCCCTGCACCCACTGGCCCTACCCTCACTCTCTCCAACCAGGAAGAGGATGAGGGGGATTAACGGGCCACAGAAGAGACTCCCCCCCTTTTCATGACTTGCGCTCCTGGCCTCCATCTTCTGGACTGGCAGAGAACAGCTCCCACAGGGGTAGCAGGGATTGATGCTGGAGACAGGCATTGACTGTATATTTTCTACCAAAGTACTTTCCGCTCTAGTGAGCTACTCTGGCCCGGGATCTTTCTTCACAGGGCCAGCCAAAAGGTCAGAGATGTCTGGGCCGACCCATGCCTACTGCTAACTAACGGACCTTGTACCTGCCTCTGGGCATCAGTCAAGTTATCTCTGGACTCTGATGGTACAGTTTTTTAATTCTTACCAGAGAACATTTTTTCATTGCGTCTTTTTTTTTTTTTAGAGAGAAGGGTAGGTGGTGAGGGAGAGAGAGAGAAACATCAATATGAAAGAGAAAGATCAACTGGTTGAATCCTTGTATGCACCCTGACTGAGGATCGAGCCTGCAACCTGACTAGGAATTGAACCCGCAATCTTTTGGTCTATGACACGATGGTCCAAGCAAACAAGCCACACCGGCCGGGGCATACAGTACAGGATTTTAAAATGTGGTTCCCTCTGCTTTGGTTTTGTCCCCGCTGAAATTCTGGCTGTATTTACCAGTTACACAACCTTGGCCAGCTATGGAACCCTGGGTGTGTTACTTAATCTTCCTGCGCCTCAGTCCTCTTTTCTATAAAATGGGATAAAAGTGCCAACCTCCCTAGATTAGTAGAGGGTTAAATGAGAGTATCTGTGGAGTATTGCAGTTTACAGAATGCCCAAGAAATAGACATGAACTTGATGGTCATTTGTATCAACACCAATGATATACTGCTTGTAACTCATATTTCTGTTCCTTGGGGGTAGCTCGAGCCTGAAGCTGATTCATGTGCACATTTTGCTCTGGTGAAGTTCCCGTCACAGCAACGCGTCCTAGTGACAGCCAAGAATGCTGGGACCTGCAGATGCAGGAACCAGGGCTCTGCTCTGCAGCCTGGTGGCAACTCGCCCTGCTGGCCTTCACTCTGGAGCTTCACACCGAAGCTACGCCGTCAGCACCTACCCCATGTTCTACACAGGGACCTTGTGGGGACCGAACCAGGCAGCAGGCTGGAGAGCAGGCGGAGGCAGTGGGAAGTGCTTGGAAACAGGTGGCCACAGTTAAGAGCTGGAGGGTTTAATCCTGGCTCTGCCACCAAGTCGGCCTGTGGCTTCCGGTTCATAAATCACCCACCCAAGCCTCAGTGTCTTTGTCTACGAATAAGGATGCCAGACTAGACAATCTTCCTTGTCCTTTCCAATTCTAAAGTATAAATAATATCCTAGCCAGTCTGAGGAAACCTGAGGCTTAAGCATTCTAATGTAGGACTAATCTGGCCAACTTTCTTCCCTTACAGTAAAAATCACGGTCCCTTTTCCAGAACAAGTGGTATCTGACCGTGCCCACTGTGCTTCCAGAGCGGCCCCCTCCCAGCCCCGAGCCTGCTCCCACAGGGCCCCGCACACAGAGCCCAGGCCGCGGGCCACCAGCAGACTGCACTTCTCTTCTCCGAGCCTGTGGGGAAGGGCGCCCGGCCAGCGGCGTGAGGCCTTGGCAGTGCCCGGGGTCTCCTTACCACCTCGTCTTCGTCCTCTTCCTCAGGCTGCGCTTTGGACTTTGGAACTTTCAGAGTTGCCCCTTTAAACAGCTCATCCTCTTCATCTTCGGAGAGACTGAAAGAAAAAAATCAAGAAAATCAAGTCACAGAAAAGGCTCCTGCGCCAGACAGACCGCGGTGCCCACAGGCTCCGGGCGAGAACCCAGGGGCTGTGGCAACCTCCCTGGAGCTCCTCCCACCCCAGCAGCTCTCGACCCCTCCACAACCTACAGCTACGGGACCTTTTAAAACTAACAGATCAGACCAAGTCACTCTTGTGCTTAAATCCCTTTAATAGCTTTTCACTGTACTCGAGTCCAAACCCCTAACAGCGACAGGAAGTCTTGTAGGACTTGGCCCCTGCCTCGTTTTCCAGCATCGGCTCCACCCCCGTCCTCCCACTGTGTGCCTTCGATTGCTCCCTCGACTGTGTCCTGTGCCCTCCGACCGCAGGGTCTTGGCCTGTGCTGGTCCCGCCTTCTGAAATCTCTCCCACTCTTGGCATGGAGGTCCCCCTTTCATCCTTCAAGTCTCCGTGTAAATGTTACCTTCCCAGAGTCTGTCCCTAACCACCCTGTCTAAAGTAGAATAACCTCCTTTTATTTTCTGTTATACACTATTTCTTTTTTTAACTTATCATATATTTTTAAAAGATTTTATTTATTTATTTTTTAGAGAGGAGAAAGGAGGAAGAGAGGGAAAGAAACATGGATAGGCTGCCTCTGGCACACCCCCCCACTGGGGACCTGGCCCGCAACCCAGGCATGTGCCCTGACTGGGAATTGAACCAGTGACCTTTCAGTTCACAGGCTGGCACTCAATCCTCTGAGCCACAACAGCTAGGGCTACTTATCACATTTTTATGATAAGCCCCTTTAGTTAAGCTCCTTAACTGAAGAACCGCACCTGCTTTTCCTACCACACTGTCACAGTGCCTACAGGGCCTTTTATGGTAGGTGTTGCCGCATAAATACACGTGTGAATGCATGAATGAACAAGGGGGTCAGTCCGTCATTCGGTCTCTGAAGGATGAGTTGCCAGCCCTGGAAAGACCGATCTTGCAGCCGCCTTGTCCCTGAAACTCTGCTCTAGGGGACATACCTGGAACGCTGAGTAGAGTGGCTGGGTCCAAGTGCTTCTCCTGCAGATGCAGAACCTGCCTCTGTGCTCGACAGCTCCCTGGAGGGACCAGTGGGACCAGTGGAATCTTCCTCTTTCTGGCTCTCTGGAGGCTGACGCTCTCCTCCTGAACTTTCAGGCTCCAAGGGCAGTGGGTCCCTCTTCTTAGAGTCTGAAGTCAGGGACAGTCTTGTGGAGCTTTCTTGCTCCTCAACACAGGTATCTCCCAATGGGCCAGCAGCAAATGCCTCCTCACACTCAGAGTCCAAGGTTACGCAGCTTGGAGGCAGAGGGGGAATTGAAGTTGGGGGCCCCAGAACTTGTTGGGCGGGGACGCAGGCCAGTTGGGCAAGGAGGGAATGATCTCTTATCTCTGAGAGTGCCCCTGCTCCTGTGGGCTCTCCTTCCTGTCTCTGTGCATCCTCCTGGGGGGCGTGGAGGGGCCCAGAAGGCAATGGCTCAGCTTCCTTGACGACCTGCTCCAATGGCACCATGGGGGCCTCCTGCCCCTCCCTGCTCGGGGGCACTTGAGACGACCCAGAACTGGCCAAGACTGACTGCTCCTGGGAAGGTCTCTGAGGTTGCTCTTCTTCTTGTTCTTCTTCATCTTCTTCTTCTTCATTGCTGCTCTCTCCCTTGTCTTGCTCGTGTTGGTTTAACATCTGAAGAGTCACCATCTGTTCAAAAGCCGAGGAGGAGGTGAGCACCGAGAGGTAAAGAGCAGGCACTCCCAGTTCTTCAGACCCCCTCCACCCAACTGCTCATCGAGTTCAAACGCCTTTGCTTCTCCCTTTCTCAGGAGGCTGCCCATGCCTATCTGTCCAGGCAGATGAATTACTGGTGAACAGTTCTGAATAATTTTTCACCACCACCCCTTAGAAGGCACTTAAGAAACAAGATCCCATGTCAGTGCCACAGCTCACAGCTGGCTGTACCTTGATGGTGTTCATGACGGTCCCCAGAACAGCCCTGCCACTGTACGACTCCTCCAGCTCAAACTCGCCCCGCAAGGAGTGGAACACCTGGTTCATGATCTTCTTGACCTGGGTGGAGATGCGAGGAGACAAAAATGCGTATCAAAATGCATGCTGCCCAAGTCAAGTGAAGAAGGGATGCAGGCCAATTCCAGAAAGGGTTCTGGAAGGCTACGATGAAGCTGTCTCAGAACCCCGCAGCAGGACAGAGCTGGTCATGAGTGCAGACACTGATGGGCACTGTGGAGAGGACAATGCCAATGACAGGCTGCACTCGACAGAAGGGCCATCAAGGACAGGTAACGTGAGGCACGTGTGCCCGAGACAGCTTACGGACCACGTATTATTGCCTCCCTCCCACCGTGACCACCACGAGAGCTGCCGTGGCTGCCAGGGTTGGTGGCTCGTAGATGCTGGGCTCACTCCCCACTCCTCTCCTATGACTTAGAGGCCCTTCCCGCATTTGTCAAAACTTCGGGACAGAGCCCTTAGGGTTTACCACCACAGTGACAGGTTCTAAAGGTTAACTTGTACTTCAGTCAGACAGGTGGTGCATCACCAAGGTTGGGGCGGGGGGAAGCTATCAAGGCAACAAATGGGCCGCATTCTTTTTGAATGCCTAGTGACATAGTTAGCTGCTTCTTCAAATTACCAGCTCACCTTCTCTGATGAGTCAGGGGCAGCAACTTCCACCCCAGACATCCGGGACTTATTTTTCTCCAGGTGCTTGATGTGCTGTTCATTTTGCTCTGTCAGGGCTGCGACTTGGGCCTGGAGGGCTGAACACTGCAAAATGGACAGAGTACAGCTGGGGACTCGGGGACCTGGACTACCGGGTGAAAGCCAGGAAACACAGCAGATGAGCTGTCCTAAGCAGCCAGTGTAGGATGACCTCCTGTAGGTCCGCTGGTGCCTACACCCTCCGCCCCCACCCCAGGCCTGCTGACTCAGAGCATCCATTTCCTCATCACTCAATCTCAACTCACACCTATTCCTCCTCTTTCCCAACAAGGTCACTTGCCTCGTTCCTAATCAGGTCAAGAATGTAATGAAAAAAGAAGGTTGTAACTCTAGTCACACAGACATGTAAACGCTGGAAATTAGAAGCAGCCTATTCACTTACCAGACTGCCTTTACCATCTTTGAGTCAAAAGATTTTCAACTGGATACTTTAAGGAAAGAAACTGACCTCCAAGATAAGGAGCCTGGCATACCACAACCCGAAGCCACCTCCTCGGTCTGCCTGTCTCATTTTTATACCAAGGTGATCCCACCCCAGCCACGCTCCATCCTAATTCAGTGCCTTTTCCCAGGATGTTCTGTTGCCTCTTCACCTTCCAAAGCCACTAGTCATTTCTGGCTCTTGGGCTTTGTCATCCCTTGGGCACTTCCTTCTGGACATCACAGAACTTAATGCTCTGTGAGGCTCTAGTCATGCCTTAGGCACTTCCTTCTGGGCATCACAGAACTTAATGCTCACCTTTGTTACTCTCTTGTCTCCATTTCTTAACTGTGAGGCTCTTGCGGGCAGAGTTCTCCATAAGCCTCTTCCCTAACACAGTGTCTGGAACACAACTGGCACTCAATAAAAACTTGCTTAATAAAAGATCATCCTTGTCAGGAGGCTCAGTTGGTTGAAGCATCGTCCCATACGCCAACAGGTTCTGGGTTCAATCCCCAGTTGGGGCAAATATGGAAGGCAACTGATCGATAATTCTCTCTCTCTCCCTGACTCTCTCTCTAAAAATCAATAAACATATCCCTGGGTGAGGATTAACAAATAAATAAAATGTGTAAAAAAATTTGTTTTAAAAAAGAGGGATCATATAGTCATGGAAAACGTGTGCCAGAATACTACTGCCGCTTTCTGTTTTTATAGCTGCCACTCCAATAAACATGTAGATTACTGTGCAGAGCTGAACCAGTGTGACTTGTTTTCAAGCTATTAGCACCTTTACGTTCACAAGCACCTACAGCACTCAATCTGCTTGCTTCAAATTAACTGGGCTGCCCCAGCTGTCTGGCCCCAGGGAAACGCCTACCTTTTCCTGAAGCTGGAGCAGCTTCTGCTGGCTGGCATCTCTCTGTGCACACACCTCCTGATATTGTCGCAGGTGCTCATCCTTGGCGGAGGCCAACAGGTGTTCACATTTTGCTTCCCACTGGGTCTGCAGCTCAGCCTGTACTAAAGATAGCTGCCGAGAAAAGTGATCACCATATCCTGGGGGTCCAGTTGCATCTAGAGAAGCCTATCTTTTATAAGGAAAAAGCATAAGCTAACAGCCCAACCTCATAGGGGAACAACTGTCCGGAAGACCTTGGTTACTTTGAAAGGAAATGTACTTTTCTAAGGTACAAAGGAAGAAGTCATCAGTTGTCAGGGCTCCAAAAGACTCCAAGCACATAAAGGTGTGACTTGTCCAGACAGGCTCCCAGAGGGCAGGGCCGTAATGTGATCATTTTCAGGGCCATGCCCTTAATTTTATAGAGTCAGAAAATACTTAATTTTGTCAAAATTCCCAGAGATGATCAAACCGAGGGACTCAATTCACTCTCCTTACCTGAGCAAACAGGAATTTACAAACTTATGAGGAGCAAGGTCACTGTCAGACGGACTAGAGATCCAGCCGTGCACTGACTGCCACGGCCCCTGCTTTCTCTGCCTGGTCACATAAATCAACCCTCTCCACCTCCCTTTTTGAGGCAATAATGGCTCTGAAAGATGGTATCTGGTGGTTGAGGACTTTAGCCTTATCATGTTTGGAATTTTTTATACAGACTTTCTCTTATTTTACTTGTAGAGTTCGATTTCCACTAAACTTGAAAAATGGAAAGATTATTCACTTGAATCCTGCCTTTTCTGCATGTATTTAGATTGTGTCCTATCTTTCTCCAAAGTGAGAGCACTGACTGTAAGAAATGTCACCATAAAGGTTAAAGAAGAAACTTAGTTCTAAGCCTTTCATGCCTTTTTTTTTGCTTCCAAAGTGCTTCTCATTACCTGCTCTGAGGCTGCTTGGTCTGTGGATACTCGCGCCTTTTTCAAAAGCTGTCGAAGTTTGTCCAGTTCCTCCTGGTGTGACTTGCGAATTTCGTCTATCTCCTCCTCAGCCTGACAGCGCTCTTGAGCTGACTTCTTTTTCCTTTCTGAGAGGTTCTTAGGAACAAGAGAACCATCATCAGCTCTGGCTGTTTAACAGAGGACACACGGAGGTGGTGGTGGCAGGATCTGACCTCACTGGGTCCTGCCTTCACTTCTGGAAACAATGCATTTTTTTTAGCTTCATTTTCCCTATATATTTAACATTCTTGGCTACTAGCTGAGAAAACCTGTGACAAGGAGGAAAACAAGAGTTTTACTACAATTCTATTAAGAGGTGGGGAATATCTTAACAGTGAAGTAGATACTTTCACATTCTGCTGTTAGGAAAGTAAATGGGTACTCTTTCTTTCTCTCTCTCTCTCTTTCCTTTCTTTCCTTCCTTCCTTCCCTCCCTTCCTTCCTTCCTATAATACTCTAAAGTTTTTATTTATTTATTTATTTTTAGGCAGAGGGGAAAAGAGAGAGAGAGAGGGAGGGAAACATCAATGTGTGCTTGCCTCTTGCATGCCCCCCACTGGGGACCTGGCCTGCAGCCCAGGCATGTGCCCTGACTGGGAATCAAACCAACGACCCTTTGGTTTGCAGCCAGCACTCAATCCACTGAGCCACACCAGCCAGGGCTATAGTTGTTACTTCTAATGCATGAGATTGAACAGGGTAAAAAAAACCTATTTTATTTTACATTGGGTTGGCCACGAAGTCCATTATGTTTCTTTTGCAAAATAAAAGACACATTTTTCATTTCCACCAATAACTATTGGTTTGGATATTTTGAGTATGTCGGCCACCTCCTGTTATTGGCTTCTAATGAGTAGAGGCCAGGGCTGCTGTTGTACATCTTCCAGTGCATAAGACAGCCCCACAGCAAAGAATTATTTGGCCAAAAAGTAAAAATAGCAAAAAATTATTTGGTCAAGAAAATTCTCACACCACTTTTGACATGTTTGATCAGTCATGGCACCTTCTCCAAACACTGCACAAATCTTTTTAGTGTTTCAGTTGCGTTTTACCTTTCTTGAAATAATAAAGCATAATATGCCAAAAATGTTGGGTATTTTCTTCCATCTTCAATATTAAAATGACTGCACTAAAATTCACCAATTTTGACTAAGTTTTTTTAAATGCATGTGATATGACAGCTGTCACAACACAATCTAACAAAATTGTTTCAAATGAAGTTAAAGACAACTAAGTGCTAGAGCTCTTGTATGGAAAAAACATAATGGATCTTTTGGCCAACCCAATACTTTTCTGTCTTATTTGTGTACTATTGTAATTTTTTAAAAAGAAAATAAAAATGCATATTAAATAGGTAATTCTGGCCACTGGGGCTCCACAAAGGAACTTCAGTTGTAAAACTTACCTTTTCCAGAGACTCCTTCTCAGCTCGAAGGTCAGTCAGCTCTTCCTCCAGGGCTGTCACCTTGAGCTCCAGTTGTCTCCGGTTTTGCTTTTCACTTTTGAACTTGGACTGTGCTTGCTCAGAGGTTTCTTGGAGCTCTGGGATAAAAGAGCCTAGAGAATTAGCTGCAGAACCAGAGTGACAGCAGGCTACACAACATCCCAGAAGCCTCTTCAAAGCTGCATTCTGTGATCTCCCGATCTTACCACACGGGCATCTTCTCCTCGGTTCTTTCAGTACCACCTCCCTGCTCAGCAACAGGTTCATCAAGCCCACTGACTCCCACTAACCCATATTTATCTCTGTATGTATATGTCACTTCCCACACGGACAATGGAAAAGTTCCAGGCAGTGAGAGACCACCTTCAAAACACATCACTCCCACAATTCCATGTCAGTCACTATCACAGCACATTGGACACATCCCGTTGGTATTGGTCCAGCCCTTTCTCACTGCCTGGGTAAGATATTCTCAAGTGTCTTGGTAGCTGGGACATTCTACCAAGAGTCTGTTCTCAAAACATCCCTTCTCAAATAAAGTTACTTGGAATATCTCTTAAACATGTAATGCATCAACGGTTACTTTGTTTGGAAAACTTTTGAGACCCTATGGTACTCTTAAGGTAGTTGTCATGGGGCCCCACAAAAACAGAAGAGAGGGTAACCGTATGACATTCAAATCTACGCCTCTCTCTCATGTGCACCCAGGCTATGTTTTAAAAGAAAAGGGATTTATCCTTAAGATATCACTGCACCAACTGGCAGCAGTGCTTTCTAGCTCTCAAGCAGGCAGTGAACCTTGCTTCTTCCCAACGCTGCTGCTGCTGCTGCTCCAGCCACACCTACAGGTCCTGTGTGGCTTCCACGTTTGTTTCTATACACAGAGGTGGACAAATCAACACGCAGGTCTTCCCAAACTATTCAAGTCATCCTGGCTTGAGCACCACCTTCGTGCCAGGTCCTGAATTAACACTAATTTGGAGGAAAGAACTTTACAAAGATGAGCAAGATGCCACCCTTGCCCCCCAGGGACTTGCATTCTAGAGGGGAAAACATACATATAAATAGTGCTGATAAAAGCAACATGTGAGAATGGTCGTAATAATGTTTGAGAGAAAGAGTTTTAAAGATCAAATATAGAGAAAAAACAAAGAAAGCTTCTGAAGGAGGCAGACTTTGGAAAGAAATGGAGACAAATACTGGTGATGGTGGGCACTCCAAGTCCAGAGAACAGCATGGATGAAAAGCGACAGACGTGCTGCACAGCAGCAGCAGGCTGGCTGGTCTGACCAGAGCCAGGACAGGCTAAGTGACAGAATGGGACATAAACCAAGCTGCAGGGGCCCTGAGTGCTGGCTAAAGAGCTGCAATCCGTTCTCTCTGAAAGCAGCAACCGGTACAGGAAGCTCTTCTTTCACAAACTTCCACTGTGTCACGAGTGAGAGGAACTCTAACGCCCAGGCTGGGGAATCCAACTGTAAACCCAATGACACTGAAGGCAAACTTGCTCAGCTCTAAATGAAGAGTCAGTTCTTCTGTTGTCCTCTGTATAAACCACCATGCAGGTCTACCTGGCCCACCTTAATGTCTGGCTCAGTCTTCACAAACTTCATGAGCATTAGCCACACGTACTGAGAGGAAGGATAGAATTTAATTCCTTAAGTTTAAATGGTCAAAGGACATACCTGAGAGCGCGGCCTGCAGTTTGGCGAGCTGGCCCCTGAGGAGGTCTGTCTCCTTCACGCTCTCTGTCAGCTGCATCTGCAGCTCTGTTTCTTTCTTTTGGTGAGCACTCACTTTCAGCTGCAGGTGAGAGACCTGGGCAGTGGCTGCTGCTAACTCTTCTGTCACCTTGGCCTGAACAGTAACAAGGCACAATGTCACTTCAAACACAGGTGTTCTTTGTCTCTAACTGATGACCTGGCCTCACGTACTGTATGCTGACTGAACTGTAGAAAGAGAGCTAAAGCCCACCTTCGACCTGTATTGAACCACAGTCAAGCCTCCAAAAAGTACAAAGTCTCTGACTGAGGACCTCCCTTGCAGAAATCTTTCCTTAGGAAATACTCTCAAGTAACACCTGATGAAACCAAAATAAATACCCTGGAAAACCCTCTCGTTATATGTTATGTAATAACAGCAATTAAGGAAAATGATGGTTAAAAGAATGTCAATAAAAAGGAATGGTAAATAAATGACAAATACCACATTAATTTCACCTGAACTGATTTCTGTAAAAATCAGGAGAAGTCAGACAACAGGAAAGGTAATAAGGGGCTGCTCTTCTGGTGACCAGGCTTGATTTGGGGGCAGCAACATACTTATGGGGTTGAACCGTCTCTCCTGTACTATTATATTACTACTACCATTACTGCTCTTATACCATTGTACTTTACACGCAATTTTACAGCTGTCTACTTTCTTATTACCACTTGTCTTTCTTATGGCAGTTTTAAACTTACTTATTTACTTAAACAACACTCAGAGAGCTCTGCATCTCTCTGTGGCTTGCGAACTCCTAATACCAGACTGAGGACCACCTGCACAAGCCCCGCAGCAGTTACGACCACTGGAGGAGAGGCCGTGGGATCAGTGATCACTCTCTCACCGGACACAGAGCTGAAGGTCACGCAAAAGCTCTTTTTATCTCAGGACCATACATAGAAAGGCCTATTAGGATATAAAAAATATTCCTGGGTGAGGAGGAGGAGGGAAAAAAGGAAAAGGAGGAAGAAGAAAGGAAGGGAGGGGAGGGGAGGGGAGGGGAGGGGAGGGGAGAGGGAAAACAAAAGCAGAGGAAGGAGAAACAGGGAAGAGTGGGGAGTGGTGAAGTGACTCCAATACTGTTTAATGACACCAATGTCACAGGCTGCTAAAGGGACCTAGGTATTAGGAGTCAGCCACACAACCCAGGCATGGTGAAAAGTAGCAGCGAGAAAGAACAAGGAGTGGACAGGGCTGTGCGGGGCAAGGCATTGCTTATCTGAGGACATGGGTTCAAAGATATTATTTACCTGGAGACTATGCCTAAGAGAACACAAAGAATAAAAGCATGAGATCCACTGTATTTTGCCAGGTATAATGCTCTCCTGTATATAATGTGCACCCATGTTTTTGGCCCAAACTTTCAGGAAAAAAAATCTTTCATTTCAAATTTTTAATTCACTTATTAATTTATATTTAGAAACAAAACTGAGTATTGTATCCCAGGGTATTATTTTGCTTATGGATACTGTTATTGCTATCTAGAGTTATACTTTTAATGCATAAGCATAAAGAATTAAAAACATTTATATAGATACAGAATTAGTACTACCCATGTATAATGCACATCCTTATTTTTCCCTCAAAAACTTGGCCAAAAAATTTTACGCATTATACACGGCAAAATACGGTAAGTAAGAAATCATTATCATTACCAGAATATGAGAAAGTGAGTAAACTCCACAAGTTATAAAGTGAATGCCATTCAATTTTTCATGTTTTTAAAAAAACTCAAATACAAAATATCAACTATTTCTTAAACCTCTGAGAAAGCAGCAGAAGGGCTGAGACCTCCCAGCTGGGGACTGGTAGCCCAAACATAAGGCCTCTGTTCTGGACAAACGGTGTCACTGGAGCTAGGACAGGGAAGGGCTACAGAATCAGTGGATCCCGACCCAAGGCCCACGGGGGTCTTCACGATCGCTACTCCACCGCAGGCTGCAATTCCTCATTCTGAACTGCTGACGTCAAACAGCAGTGTTGGAAAGTGCTCTGGGAGGCTCGGATGGAGGAGCAAACGAAACAATCCTGAATCTCACTACAAACATTTGTTACAGGGCATACCAGGAATTTTCTATTATTTTTGTCAACAGAATAAATTTAGTTTGTAATACGCTGTGTAACTCTTTTTTAAAACAAGAATTTTAATGATGTCGTGTGAAGAAAGGCAGACTGCCGTGGCGGTGCCTCATTCGGGTGCGCCTGCAGTCCTGCAAGCTTGGCTACTCCACACGCTCTCACAAATGGACCTGGAGGGCTTGTCTGGAGGCTCTGGCAGGGAGCGCAGCTACTCCTGTACCTCTGACCGAAGGCCAGTCCTCTCCTCTAGTGGGGAAGGTCGCCCTCTTTGAGCGCACAGCTTCGGGAGGGACACCATGGATCGGTTTGGTGAGGGAGGACGGGGACACCTGCCTGGCCAGCCGGGTCAGCTGAGTCAACCCTGGAGACCAGTGGGGCGACAGATGTTGTAGCCAGATGGCCTTTACACCCTAAACTGTATAATTCTTTCCTTAAATTATTAAGATCAGTGATCATTTCTGAGTCCATTTATTGCAAAGTATATTACATAACAGATATCAAGATGATGGACATATTAACATCTATTCAAACTTTTCTCGTTCCCTTCCCAACGATGGCAACAGTTCTGCTGAAAAGCAGACGTGTAAGTACATACATAGGACCGCTCCTCAGCTCTACACATCCTGGGCTTTGCTTTCCCAGTTACTTTACCTTCTCTTGCTCAGCATGCAATACTCTTGCCTGTGTGTTTTCTGTGGCTGTTTGAAGTGAGTTGTTCCTCTTTTCCATCATCAGGTTACTCTGCTCAACATATCTATGAATAAATAGGGAAAAAGAAAACATCTGTCAAGCACCAAATGTATTCCAGGTGTAACCCAATGTGCATTCAATCCGCACAACATTGCTCTATACCTTCATGAAAACAATCTGAAGGCATTTTGTTTCCCTTAGAGCTGGAGTAATCAAGTTGGAGGCAGACACCTGGGCTGGAGGTGCACTGCTTTGAACTAGCATAAGGAAGGAGAGAGAAATTGGAAGGGTGTGTGGTGAGTGGGGATGAGAAGGCAAGAGACTGGAGTGAGAAGGCTGCAAGGAGGGAAGAAAAGAAAGACACCCCCTGCCCCCCTTCCATGCGAGAGACAAGACACGCTGGAGAAGAGAAACATGAAGAATGATTTTTCAAAGTGAAATACTATATGTTATGATATGTAGCCCTGATTCCTGCCCCCCAAGTCTTCAAAAGGATCTAGAAAAATTACAAAACACTTGGGTTTCACACGGAAATCAGTGAGGTTCTGGTTGATTAAATAGAGTCAGCCTACACAGAAGAGGAAGGTTGATACCGGAGTTCTGAGTGTTAACACTACTTTTACGACAAGGAAACTAGGGCCGACAGGAACGAACAAAACGCCCACAGCCAGGCAACACAGACGAAGAAGAGCACTGCTGGCATTCAGACACAGGCCGACTGAGGTCTTTCTACCGAAACGCCTCTCAGAAAATAAGCAATAGTTTACATGACAGGCAGGAAACAGAGAAAGAAGAAATACTGATAAACTGCCCTAAACATACATTTATTTAACATGGGTATTTACAAATTAAACCCTTTTGTCCATCCTAGCTAGTGTCCAGTATGTTATTACCTCTGATTTCGTTCAATTAGTTCGCTAATCTTGTCATTCTGTTCTTCTATCCGACTGCTCTTCTCAAGGATCTCTTGCTTCAATCTTTCATTCTCCTAAATTCAAAATGTGTGATATATAACTTGAGTTTTTAAGAGAAAAGTACCAGATAAAAGGGAATCAACTTGGACAGTGATGCTGTTACATATTTTGAGACAAAAAACTAGAACTTATGTCCATATAGAAATAATATTTAAAACAACATATCAATTTATACCTTACCACACTATACTCAATAGATTAAGCACATAAATGGCTGTACAATGAAGCAAAATTCTGAAATATGGTCAAAAAGAAAGGTTTCCCCCTGAACACATAGTGAAAAGTCACCCAGACTGAGTTAAGCCATAAGGGACTTTCCAGAACTTGCCCCCTCAGTGTAGCATTTATCACATGCTCTCCATTTCCGGAGTGGAGGTTAAATGGGCAGTGCATCTTGGGAGAGGGTAGGGGCAAGACCTCCAGGCTGAGTGTTCTGTTCCCGGCCACTCTCACCTGAATAATTCGCTGGATGTTGCTCATGATCATCTTCGTTTCCATTGTAACCGACATGCCAGGAATGAACAGGGAATTGCCAGCACTATGCTTCTGTAACTCTTCAACCTGCCGAAGGGGTGCCAGAAAGACTTCTGTCAGAAATTTTTAAATAGGGAAATATAATGTACCCAACAGAGAACCACTTTTTTGAGGATGCTAATGAGTTTCTGAGACAATCTCTAATGTACGCTAGAATTTTCTTCTGCTAAATGGATGCCAAAACAATAACTACCTTCTAGGGAAATAATTACTAACTATATGAATACAGGAGACCAAGGAAGAGTTTACCTACAACCCTGGTTGCTCCCTATTTGTACCCCCCTGCTTGTACCCACTTTCAACATGGCCGCTAACCTAACTCAGTCACCTTAGTCATGAGATGATCCATTTTATCAGCCACTTTGCTGACTGCCATTCGAATTTCAGTGTTATGCTGACGGGCTTCAGTCATGAGAAAGGAAGCCATGTCACCAGATCCTAAACAGAAATAAGTGAAAAAGAAAGTTACGAAACTGGAGCAGAGAATACTATATGAAGAAAAGACAACAGCTCTCTCAGCAGAGGAAAGAAGGAAGTGAACATTTCCAAATACTAGGAGTGCTGTCTGTACTTTGGCTTCGGCTACTTCTTCCTTTCCCCCCATGAAGGTCTTTCGCCAGGCCAGTGCGAGCGTTGAGGGCGCCCCCCCCCGGGAACTGGCACACCAGCCCAGGACTCCCCCGGGCCCCCCCCACCTGGCATGTCATCATGCACAGTCCACTAAATGGGTATTTTCTGGAATATCCTGTTCATGGCGCCAATTGTAATGCGAAGAGCCCCAAACAGGGTAGCTGCTTAAGTGTTCATGCTATTCTGAAAAAAGCCGCCCTGAAGCCTAGCAGATGTGGACACGCTGTTTATGACATTACAGAGGAGTGCACAGGGGGCAGCGGGTCAGTATGAGAGAGGGACCGCACCCTCTCCAGCCCGAGGTTCATTATAAGGGGTTGCTGACAAAGGAGGCACATGTCCTACATGTGACTCTAAACTACATTACCTCACTGTGTGCATGCAGAAAGAAAAGGTCAGGAAGCAATCACAGGACAAGAAGCTGCTCCCAAAAGGAGATAAGGAGAAAGTTCAACCATTCCCAAAACAATACACATTCTTTCTGGCTAAGGGCCCCCAGGCCAGCCCTTCTCATGGGTGGTAGGAGAGCCATGTCAGCATCGACCCCACAAGCAGACCGAAGCAAAAGGGCTCCAAAGCTAAACTATGCTCCTGCAAAATGCACTGGGGGATAGAGTCTGGTCCAAGGGCACAAGCATGCCCACTGTGGTCTGCCGCAGCACTAGCTGCTTAGATTGCTTCTCCATTCATCTGACTGTGTGCTAGGCACTGTACCAGGAACCAGGGATGCAGCAATGAATAAAACATGGCTCCTGCCCTTCAGTGAATTCAGTCTGGTGAGAGGAGACTCCCATGTAAACAGATCATTAGCATAGTGTTTTAAGTGCAAAAAATGGACCATGTACAAGGTACAAGAGGAGCATAAAGAAAGGCAAGATTAACTAACTCCTTGGTGACATATATACACAACTGTGTCTCTGAGAGGAGAAGAAGGAATGATGGTAGAAATCAGGGAAGGCTTTCCAGAGGAGATGACAGACTTCACCGTTTCCTAGACAGAGCAGGGGCAGGGCTTCCAGACAAAGGCTGCATCTGGGAAATCTCCCTACCACTATTCTAACAACAAAGGTGATTTTTATGTAAAAGACAAGCTGTAGGCCCTGACCAGTATGGCTCAATAGGTTGGAGCGTCATCCCATAAACCAAAAGGTCACGGTTCGATTCCTGGTCAGAGCACATGCCTAGGTTGCAGGTTCAGTCTTTGGTTGGGACATATGTGAGAGGCAACCAATCAATGTTTCTCCCTCATATCGATGTTTCTCTTCCTCCCTTCCCCCTCTCTAAAATCAACAAACACGTTGAGTGAGAATTAAGAATTTTTAAAAAGCTGTAGAACAAGAAGGGAGGACACCATTGTAGCTGTTCACGTTTCATTCTGTTTTGTTTTATATACAAGACGCTCACACATGCACATGCAAATGAGGGATCTAAGAAGTTACCCAAGTACCTGTCAGTAACAGTTCCCTGTGGTCAGGGGTTTTAATGATGGAGGACAGTGCTTTCCTCTCTACACCCTTTTGTGTTGTTTGACTTTTTAATGGGAGTATATTATTTTTATAATTTAAAAATTTTAACAAATCAGTTTTCATTTGAGATACTGAACATCCACAAACACTCATTCTGCTTTCTCCAGATTTCCTCCAATGTTTTACTATTTTCTGTAACCTTCACAGAGCCACTCAGGCAGAGAAACTGAAAACAGCTGGTGGGAGAAAATGCAAGAAACGAAAGCCAAGAAAGCGAGATGAGAGTTTTTTGGAAGGATGATGAAAATGTTTAAAAACTGGGTTGTGGTGATGATTGCACAACTCTCTACACTTACTTTAAAAAAAACTGAATTATACACTTCAAGTGAATGAACTGTAAGGCATGTAAATGACATCTGGAGAAAGCTATTTACAAAAAGATAAGGCCCCGACTGCTGTGGTTCAGTGGGTCGGGCACTGTCCCGCCAACCAGAAGGAAGGTCGTCAGTTTGATTCCCAGTAAAGGCACATGCTTGGGTTTTGGGCCAGCTCCCCAGTTGGGGGCATGTGAGAGGCAAGCATCTGAAGTTTCTCTCGCACGTCAATGTTTCTCTCCTTCTCCTTCTCCCTCCCTGCCCCTCACTCTAAAAATAATAAAATCTTCAAAAAAAAGGTAAGAAAGAAAAGGCAGAGATCTAATTGGAGTAACTACGAAACAGCGATGGGAGGAAGGCGAGCACAGCAAAAGCAGGTGAGAAACTAAAGGGATCGCTCCTCACCTTGAAAATGGGGAGACTGAGAGAGCGGTGCTGGGTACAAGGGCCGAGCGGGCTGCAGCTGGGAGGCGACGGTCGACACCTGGGGATAAGCATAGGCTGACACACCTGCGTAGGGCTGAGAAAATACCAAGTTACAGTGAGCTTATACATTTGTGTCTTTTTTGCTTAATTTATCTTTGACGAAATAAAGTAGACAAGCTGGAACGAGGCTCAAACTCATTGAAGCTGAGATGGATGAGATTAGGGTTTGGTATCAAGTAAGAACCCCAGGAGGAGTGTCAGCTTTGTAACCTGGTCACTGCAGTCCTACCCAGTAGTGGGCGTAGGGTGTCTCTGGTCACTCCCCAGTCCTCTGGAGACATAATTTAATTAAGTAGGAATTCATTCCCCAGCCATAGGGCCTACTTATGGTCTAAGAAATGTTAAAACTAAGACAACGCTGCTGACTTTCCATTGAGGTAAAAGAAGAGGTGTGCAGAGATGCCAAACCAAATCCACCACCAGGTTCCAAAGGAGACCTCTTCCTGGCTAGTTTCTAACGCTTATCTATGCGACCAAGAGCTCTCATTTTCCTCTGAGCCTCATTCGCCTCAACTATAAAATGGAAACAGTAACACCACTTCTTAGGGTTGTCGTGTGAACTAAATGAAGTGACACTTATGTAAAGTTCCTAACAGCTGGTAAGTTAGGTTAAGTGCCTGGCAGATAGTAAATGCTCAACAAACTGCAGCTGTCTCTTTAATGATGATGGTTATTCTTCCTTGAAGTAAAAAAAAATGCAGCTCATTTCCAGAGACAGATATAACTACCCATTAACAACACATTAAAAAATATCTTAGTCTACAGGATGGTAATTCTCCATCAAGGTAATTCTGTTCCTAATGGAACAGAGTCTGCCCACCATCACTCCTATTCTTCCATTAAGAATCACCAAGAAAGTGAGGCCCTGTTACCACTGGGAGTATGTCTCATGCATCAAATGCATAGAGACGGAAGAAAATGTCCACAATCCAGACAACAGTCAGCAGAGGTAGATAGGCTGCTGTCACTGCCTTTTGTAAAAACAGGGTGCTGCCTGTGAACCAAAAGGTTGCTGGTTTGATTCCCAGTCAGCGCACATGCCCGGGTTGTGGGCCAGGTCCCCAGCTGGGGGTGTGTGAGAGTCAAGTGATCTATGTATCTCTTGCACATGGATGTTTCTCCCCTTCTCCTTCTCCCTCCTTCCCCCCCCGAAAATATATAAACAAAATCTTTTTTTTAAATGAAAAAACCTACTTTAAGGGATCACTTTGGAGGACAGACATCAGAGTCCAGCTGCATTTTCTATGTAGCCTCCACCCTTACCCTACAACCACTGTGCGGAGTACAGTGCAGAACCTTAGCCTCGCAGCTGTTTGAGGGATAAGAACAAAGAAGGCGTAAATTATACCCCTGAACTAGATAATAAGTGTGGAGAAGAAAGGAAATGAACGTGGAGCGGGCCTTGACTGTGCGCCCAGACTGTGTACCACGTGCTTTGTTTGTTCCTGCATTTAATCTTTATAACAACCTATAAGGCGTGTAATCCTTTGACTGGTTTAGGGATAAAAAAGTGGTGGCCGAGGAAGGGGAAACACTATAATCTCTGGCTGTAGGGAGCTGCTACTACACAAATTGTGTAGGAAGAAGAGAATTAACTAGAGCTGTAATTAATTATAGTTTATAAATAATATGGTTTTAAAATGTTGTTACCTGAAAGGACTGGGAATTTCCGGATACAGCTGAGTGGGAATCGAGAGATGCAACTTGCATTAAGGCAGCAGAGGGTGCCTGGAGCCCGGTAGCAGGTGGCTGAGGTGCTAAGATAAAGCAGGACGTTTTCATCGTTAGCCATCCTTGCTCGTGTGAGTCCAGAGTAGCACCTTACATACCATCAGGCTTCAGACTCAACCACAATCCTCACCTAATCTCCTAAACCAACTCTACCAGAGTCTTAGCCACGGGCCAGAAGAACAAAAGTGGGTGTTCTTGGGTACATGTGACCCAGAAGGACAATCCCATCAGGTGACAGGAAGTGCAGAATTACACAGATTAGAGGGAGGTATCTCATTAGCGGAACACAGATCTGCAAAACTGATAATGCAACACAGCAGGCAGACCAAAGACATCTCCAGGTCTGAAAATGCCCTATCCAGGGACAAACTGAGGAGTTTACACCCTAGTCCAGTTTTCAGCACTAAAATGATACAGCCTAACAGTTTAAGGAATAGTGACAATTACTCTGGTGCTGACCCAATTCAAGGCCACACACCCTCGGAGAGCTTCCTTACCGTGTGTGGTCACCTGCGGTAGCGGAGGCTGGGCTGGCTGAAGAGAGGGCTGGACAGGTGGATTCGGCACCGGCTGCCCGGCTCCTCGCAGAGCGTTCACTTCCTGAAACAGGCACCAGCCTTTCGTTATTATGTTTGAGTCCCTAACTGAACACTAAGGCTGACCACCCGAAACCTGCTTACGACACAGGGCTCCTAGGCAAAGAGGGGGAAGGGAAAGCAAGCAGGATGGCAAGAGCTCAGGGCGTGGGCTGTTGGGAGGTAGCACTCTATTATGTAATAGCATAAGATCCCTTCTCCTTGTAAATCATCTCAAATAATTACATATAACTTCCTCAAATATTCTAAGTTGTTTAAGTTTTATTATCTGAAGCAGCTAAAATGACTGCTCTCCAGAACATATCATTTACCCAAAAAGCAGTGACTGTAAGTAAGACTGACCTCGTCTGTCCCTGCAGAAGTGGGGTCTCTTGCAAGGAAACCCAGGAAATAATTCAGGCTCTTCATTTCTGCCAAATAATCTCCGTACACCTCAAAGTGCTCAATGAAAATCAGACAGAGTGGGATTCACTGCACTTCGTTACCATAATGTTTTGGGATAATATATTATTAGTGTTTTTCCCCCAGTCTTTCTTTTCATAAAAATCAAAGCAATGTTGTTTGTTCCCTACTGTAACTCTAAAGAAAGTCATGTTTAAACGTCCTCCTTCTGCACAGGAGGGAAGGAAAAACCTGAGGCACGGCACACAGTGACCGCGACCGGATGTGCTGCACCTCAGGGGCTGCCGGCTCCAACGCTCTCTCACTGCGACGCCGCCTCCTGTCCCTGACATTCTCAGACGTGTACTACGCATTGCTGGAGAAGCACCCCACTTTTACATCCCCACAGCTCTACACTAACCTAAATGTTTAACACAGTGAATGGAATTATGATAAATCAATATTATAGCACACTGGGTTGCCTTTAAAGGTAATAATGCTATGCTTTATTTACTTACCTTATTTATATTATTGACATAAATGTTCATGATATGACATCAAGTTTAAACATCAGGTTACAGAGCAATATATATAGAAGAATGCCCTGTTTATTAAATATATCTCTTCTTTCAATAATTTAAATTATTCTACAAAGAATAAGTAGCACTTAAAATATTTAATAAAGAATATGCTCTCATCCAAATTTCATTCCCGGAGATCAGATAAAAATCAATCCTATGACAATAGGCCATAGAAATCTCATCTTCCTTTAAATGTTAAATCTACTTAAGAGCTTTTCTAAAACAAGATAAAAAACAAAGTTGTGAAAAGTAAAAGTATTTTGAAAAAATACTTCTTAGGAGTATGACCTTTGCTATGTTTTACATCAGAGTGAAAGAATCCAAACTCTCAATCCCTATTAAGCATTCCAATTGAAAAAGGGTGGTTCCATTGTACAAGGTACTCACCAACAGAAAAGAATTAAGTTAGAATTGTTACTTCATATTATACAACAATTTTAACATGGATTAAAATTTAGATCTAAATATGAAATAGTAAATACCTTTTAAAAACACATGTGATGTTTAGATCTGAAAGTTTCTAAGCAGTACAGAAAAAACTGACCTGGTTGCAACGAAATCCTTTAACTTCAAAAAAAAAAAATCACACCACATACGATGACTAAAGACACGACAGTGTGATCTTTAGTAACAGGTAACATCAGTGGGCAGACCAAGATTTTCCAAGAAGACCTAAACATTCAATTAACAAATACAAGTTGAACATCTTTTACGATTTGAGCACCATACTACCTCAAGAGTGATTTTTCCTGGCAAGAGAGTTTCTAGTAGAAGCCAAATTCCCTACTTCAAACTGCCCAGTTCCTGTGGTAGATGTAGGAAATTGCTTCCATTTCTCAGGAGAATTGCTACACATGTGTCAATACCAACCTGCATCATTTTGAATATAAACCCCTTAAATAGTGATTCTGGGTTAGAGGCAGAAAAAGTAGTAATTTCAATGAAAGGAACAGAAGATAGCAACTTCTGTGCTACTCATCCTAATACAGGCAGGGGAACATACTTCCATTTCCGAGTCATTGGACTCCAGCTGTGGTGGGAGGATGGGCAGCATGGCCTGGCCCATTTTAGCCATCCGAGAGATCAACTTGGCCTTGGCTGTATCAGGATTCTGTAAAGACAGGAAAGTCATAAAAACCACTGTAATCCAGGTTCATGACCTTCAGTTAACTCTATGTCTGTGGCTCTTGTATCACATTCAACTAGTCCCCCTGCCATATCTATTTGAAACCATTTCTTCTAGAAAATGAGAGCATTTTCTGACCTAGAAACATGCACGGTTCATACATAATAACAGCAACAGTAAAATTAATTCCCTGTATGTTTGGATTAGACAGAGTGAATGAAGTAATACATACGTATTACTTCATTTCACTTAAGTCTCCCTGCCATGCATAATTATTCTCATTTTACAGATGAAAACCTAAAGTACAGATTAAAAGAGTAAGTAAGGCATTTTAGATGATAATACTTTCTCAAAAGCCTGGAAGAAATTCAGGAGGTGGACATTCAGAAGAGATTTGGGGAGGGAAGGGAACAGCAGCTCTGTTCTAAATTCAGCTGCTTTTAACTCTGACCTGGCGCTGACTGCACACTGCACACGACTGCATTCACACTGACCTCACAGTAGCCCCTGTGCTAGAAGCATCTGTATCCATTAACTGGTTCAAAGTACAGCCTTCCAGGTAGAGCACATACCTATGAGGGTGCCCAAGATGATCTACTGAGCACAGAAATGACCACAACCTCTATTTTACAATTATTTTATAGCTACAGCAGCAAGACAGTAAATCTGTTTACAGGAATTGACAGTGCTTTATTATATAATTTGTAAATAGACATAGACTGGGAGTATGTACTCATTTTTTTCTTAACTGACAGATGCATAATCAGAAAAGTTGGATCCATCAAGGGAGGACTCCACACAATAAAACAGTGTGATCTAGAGACAGAATATGAATGAGGAAACTTTGTATACACTAATGTGGAAAGATCTTGTGTTATATATTGTAATATGTAAAAAGCAAGGTGAAGAGAAATTAAATATATGTTCCTATTTGCTTGCATCTGCATAAAGAAACACTGAAAGAACATATAAAAAAGCAATAAAAGCTGTTGCTAAAGGCGGTGGGGTGAGACGGAATGAGACAGATGGGGACAGGGGTGGGCATGAGTCTTCTCAACGTATATCTTGTATTGTTCTGCTAACTGTACCGTACAAATGTAATTACCTATTCAAAACAGAAAATAAAAACTTCAATATCAAAATAGAAGAAGATGGTTATTTATGTTATGTGAATTTTGCCTCAGTTTTTAAAAAAGTAAAAAAAGAAAAGAAAAAGGCCACTAGTGTTCCACAAGTCACCAAAACTTAGAAATAGGTGACAACAGTAGCCGTGTCTGGAGAGCACCATAGAATAAATACTGGACAATTTTTTGGTGCCTGTTCAAAAATCTGAAAAACGTTTTTTGATTTTTTTCTGATTTTTTGGCTTAACCTTCTAAGTTTAGGGCATCACTTTTTGCACATCTTAGTTTATTTGCTTAATAATTCTTTCTTTGGGCTGAATATAAAAGTATTCAGTCCACCCAAGTAAACTAGGGGTGGAGAGAAATTACTTGTCAATTTCATCCCACACAATTATCCTGTTCCCCAGTGTGGTGGGTGAAGGCCACGGGGCTCTGGGACTTGAAGTCCTTTAGTCGTCACCTCTTCACAGGCAGCAAACTCAGATGCCGTCACGAACCAGGCAAGACAGCAGCAAACCACAATGTACATCCTCCTAAACACATTCAAATCCAAATTTTACTACAACAGTATGCTGATCTGATCTTGTATTTGGGGAAACGAAGAGGCCCAACATCCTTTTCAAAGTCAACTAGCTGGTGCATTAGTGCAAGACTCCTTCCTCTAAGAGGATAAAAGTATGGAGATATGCAGTATAACTACAATAACATGCAGTATTACAAAAATAATAAGATAATATGATCAGCTTTTACAATATGCCTGACACTAAAACTCCACAGGCATTATTTCATTTGAACCTCATAAAAGTCTCCTGAGGGATTACTGAAAACACACCATAAGCAGGCTCTGAGCTCAGTGTTTTACAGATACATCTCTAGTCCATTCTTATAGGAACCTTATTAGGGAGAGATGAGAATCACTTCCATTTTAATAATAAAGAAGCTGAGGATCAAAGTAAGTTTCTTAAGGCCACATGACTATACGAATAGAGATTTGAATTCAGGTCTATCTATGCAGAAGCCCAGGAAAATTTATACTGATTCCCAAGTAATATGAATAAAGTAGTCATCAAATTCTAGCTAAATCTACAGTTCTTGAATGTTTTAAAAAATCTCTACCCTCCACATGAACACTGAGGCTGAGGGAGACGGACCCATATACTCACTGCACTGACGGGGAGCTGCTCACTGAGGGAGTCGGACTTGGCACGAAGAGCTGGCTCCCTGAAAGCAAGCAGAGCACATCCTGAAATGGAAACAGAATCCGTAATCACCAGTCCAGATCCTACTGGATGAACAGACTGCTCCTCACGATGTTCGCCAATTTAACAGTAAAAGAGAATTTTAATTCTTGAGTTTGCTTACTCCCTGAAAGCTGGTGAAGAAGAACAATTTTCCATCCATATGCTTATTATTTACATTTCTTCCCTTGGGTATGTATGTTGTGACTATGCCTTTTGCCCAATTTTATTCCAGGATTTGACAGGCATTCTTTAATATCTGAGTTAGTGCTTTTTAATTTTTTATTATTTTTAATAATTAAAAAAAAAGATTTTATTTATTTATCTTTAGAGGGGAAGGGAAGGAGAGAGGGAGAGAAACATCAGTGTATGGCTGCCTCTTGTGCGTCCCCTACTGAGAACTGGCCTGCAACCCAGGCATGTGCCCCAAACCAAACCACAGCTGTTTGGTTCATAGGCCCATGTTCAATCCACTAATCCAGCCAGGGCTAAGTTAGTGCTTTAACAGACTATAAATATTAGTCCTTTGTCAGAAAAATCTGATGTGTGTTTTTTCCCATCCCATTTTTAACATTTAGAAATTCTTAGTTTGCAACTATACCCCTATTTCTGAACCCCTCCCAGAATAATGTTTATGGACAATAACAGGGCTTGATAATGACTCTAGCATCTTACCCTGACTTGAAAGGCACCGATGTGGGGGGTGACACAACAGGATCAGCAGGCAGGCCATCGGCACTGGGCACAGGTGACGGAGCTGCAGAGTCCCGGGAACTCACACTGTGCCCGTCAGAGCCGGAATCTCTGGCAAACTTCACCTGGGGAAAGAACGCACAGGTGAAACAGGTCACCACCAAGGCTCTCTTCCCCCTCCATCCTCCTTGCATTTTATTTAGTCTCTATTATACAAGTCATTACCTGCTCATTGTGGCAAATCAGAAAAGGTAGATAAGTAAAAAAAAAAAAAGGTAAGAATCACCTGCAATCCAACCACTGAACAATAACAATGTAGGATTTTGGATGTAGTATTTCACCTTTATTTTATGTGTGTTTTTATAAAAATGGGGCCACAGCGTTTTGCAATCCACTTTGCTCACTCAATGACATATTAACATATTTCCACATTGCTAAGTTAATGATCTACAACATCACATTTAATTACCAAAGAGTATGCCTAACTTCAAGGGTCATGCCCTTAACTTCTATTATCTACCAAAAAAAAAAAATGTCCAAAGAATTCTGGGAATAGAAGTCATAAATATCAATGCTATTACAAAATATATTTCACCAATTCCTACTCATTGTACATACATTCAGGTTATTTCTAATTCTCTCTATCACAAACAATACTTCTACAAATAGCTTTATATCTGTATCTTTGCATAAAACCTTAAATATTTCCAAAGCAGAACTTCCCAGAAGTTAAACTGTTGGATAAAAGGCATGCTCATTTTTAAAACTTCTGATATACACCACTAAATTTCCATACCTGCAAGGGTGAACCATGTTACACTGTCCAGGTAGTGTGTAAGTCCTCCTCAACACGCTTGTCACCCTGGGCACAAGTGTTCTCCATCAGTCTTGTCAATTTAATAAGCATTTCAATTTGTAATTATTCGTTTACTGGCAAAAAAGTAATTTTTTTATGATGTTCCCAAATGCCATTCTTAATGGATACAAATTAGTCTGTTATCCATTACCAGACATGATGTCCTCAGACTCAAAGGAAAACTGAGGTTACAAGGACCACAGAGAAGGCAGTTGTGGGCGCGTCAGTTAAAGAGGCTGGCGTGACCCCGCAGAGATAACAGTGTCCAGGTGGGGAAGCATATCCTTTCTCTGTTGTAGAAGGAACAATGGCCACAATAAGGATGACCATAATATGTATTTGTTGTATTTTATGGTTTATGATCACAGACATTATAACACTTGGACCCAACAATAACAGTATAAAGCAACAAGGGTCTTTTTTTCTCCCTTGGGGGGTAGCTTCAATTTAATTAACTATAATTTGTTATAAATTTCATTGTAAAAATTAAACAAATTCATAACAAAACTTTTAAATGGTACAAAGGGATAGAATGTAAAAAAGTTTCTGAATTCTATTTCCATTCTCCAGAGAAAATCACTTTAGAAGCATTCCTTTTAAAACTTGCAGAAACTCTCTAAGGATATATGAGCATATATGTGACTATATATATATGAGTATATATATATATATATATATATATATATACACACACACACACACAAAGGTATATTTATAAACATACAGGGTAGACAAAAACAGGCCTATGGATATTCGTATGGAAAAAGACATACGGGTTATGATTATTAAAATAGCTTTATTAACTCTGTTTTGCATTCTTTTAAGTGTAAACCTTTTACCCACCCTTGTATACAAACATATATGTACATATGTATGCCTGTGTAAATATACATAGGTATATATTTAAGTGTGTGTACACACAGACCATACTATCATACTGTTTTGCAACTTTCTCCTTTCCCTTAACAATAGATTTTGAATATTCTTTAAGAGTTACACAAAAGTTCACTCTATGAAAAGACCATGACCAGTCTCTTAATAATGGGCACTTTGTTGTTTCCAGTTTTTACTATTATAAACAATGTAGCAGAAGGGAGGAAACTATGTACCTATTTTTATATATCTATCAATAAACAGATATTTTTATATACTTGTGAGAATAAACTGATAGCATAAATTTGTAGCCTTGGAATTACTAAGTCAAAAAGTGGGTAGGAATCACTATTTTAAGGACGAAATACAAAGGCTAGTGTAGAAAAATGATTTGCTCAGTCAACGATCTCTCTGAGACTCTAAATAGAAAGCCAGTAAGATTATAAACATTGGTATCAAAAAAAGTCTTCAGAATCTGGTTTTCAAACGTATTGACTCATTTTACTTAACTAGCAAAGAGGACTCATCGACAGAGCACAGCGCAATTTTACTCACCCGCCTGATCTCCACCTCGAACACCAGGATTGAGTCCATTGATGGCGTCCATCCTATCGCCCCCTCAGAGCCAGTAGCACAGGCTGGAGGGATGATAAGCAACCGCTTCCCTCCTTTTTTCATGCCCAGCATTCCATCCTCCCAGCCCTTGAGAAATCAGAGAAGGGGAAAAGCTCATCAGACACAAACCTCCTCCAAAGAAAAAATGAAGTACAGGGTCATCAGGTTTCACTCATCCACACTTTCAGGTTTGGAGCTCTGGAAAGAGCTCAAGTTTAACTAGTCTCTTGCCTCCTCATGGGTTAAAAGAATATCTAGAATGCTGCTTCTAATTTACTCATAAAAGCCAGGATATCTGGAGATGGATGAAATATAATTATTTTGGACAATGAGACAAATTGGGAGGAATGGGAGAATGGCATTAAAAAAGAAAGAAAAGCTGTCACTTATTAAACCCATTTTTCCAAGTACTCTGGCAAGTGCCTTACTTACATTATGTTGTTTACCAAAATAACCTCGTACGTTGGCGGCATTATCCCCATTTTACAGATGAGAAAAATGAGGCTTAGAGAGGTTAAATAGTACAAGATCAGATAAAGAGAGAACCTTAAAAGCAACAAGAGAAAAGTGGAGAGTTACCTACAAAGGTACCTATAAGACCACCAGCTGATGTCTCAAAAGAAAACTTTGCAGGCAAGAAGGGATTAGCAAGAAGTATTCAAAGTGATGCAAACCGAAGACCTCCAACCATGATTACTCTCTCCAACAAAGTTATCATTTAGAAGGCAGGGCAGATAAAGTGCTTCCCAGACAAGGTAAAGGTAAAGGAGTTCATCATCACCAAGCCCTTATATGAAATGTTAAAGGGACTTATTTAAGAAAAAGAAGATCACTACTATGAACATTAAAATGACAACAAACTCAAAACTATCAACAACTAAATCTAAAAAACAAAAACTAAGCAAACAACTAGAACAGGAACAGAATCATAGATATGGAGATCATATGGAGGGTTAGGTTAGCAGCAGGGAGGAGGAGAATGGGTACAGAGATTGAAGCATGGCTGGTAGGTACAAAATGGACAGGGGGAAGTTAGGGACAACTGTAATAGCATTATCAATAAAATATACTTTAAAAAGTATAAAATATAAAAAGATATAAGTTACATAAATGGCTTTGGGGACATCATTACGTAAATAAAGGTTACTTGAAGACAAGCACTGGAGTGCCTGTGACAGATTACTGAGATGGCTGCTAAGTGACTACTGTAGCATTCACGGCACAGACATGCTGGAGCCGGGACGACACACCTCCACGGCAGGACAGAGCGAGATTTCATCACACTTCTCGGAATGGCAAGCAACTTAAAGCGTATGAATTGTTTACTACGGAATTTTCCATCTAATATTTTCAGACTGCAGTTAACCATGGGCAACTGAAAGCCAGGAGAGCAAACCCACGAATAAAGGGGGACGACTGTACATTGTCTCATAGGTAAAAATCTTCCAAATGCAGACGTTTGCTTTTGATCAAGCCTTTCCAGACTCTCAGAAGACACCCAGGTTAGAAAATCACAAAATTTCATCTAAATTAAGCCCACTGTAACTGATAACACCATGGAATAACACAGTCCAGATTTACCTTGATGACTTTTCCTGACCCCAATTTCAGGCGAAGCAGCTTATCTTTGTTAGCAGTGGAATCAAAAACCTGTTTGATCAAAGTAAATGATACATGAGGTCATTTTCAAAAAAAATAATAATCATAATATGCAATTTACTACATACTAGCAGAGTATTTCTAGAATAGGGAATGTCAAATATATAGGGAAAAGAGTTTTTAAGACAGCTGAAAAGACAGGACCACATCATGGCTAAAGGGTGTTATCACACAGAATATCCATGAAGCATTTATTTTCCAGTTTTAGAAAAAAAAGTAACTTCATTTACTAAAAGCACTTTCCATCTATAAAGAACTTTCAAATAAATTACCTCATTTATTGCTGACACCAATCCTGTCACTAACCACTAACCTCCATCCACCAAAGGGGAAAAAATTTTAAGAGTTTAAATGACTTGACAAAGTTAGGATATAACTGGGACTGAATCTACTTTTTTTTGACTAACAGTCTTAAGTTTTTTTCTATCATACTACACTGCTTTGAGGGCTCAATAATATTGGAAGACAAAAAACTCAACCTATTCACAGTATCTAGTATAAGAAAAACTGAAATAACTGGAAGGTCTAAAGAAGTTTTAAGACCTACTCCCATATGAATATATTCAAGTTTAAAACTGGCAGAGGAGGACACATGAGGGAACAATTCCCAAAATAATACTTGGGAAGTTGGTTCCCATTTTCTCTAAGTAGTGTCATAGTGGCACCAAGCAGATTTCATACATTAGCATTTCATGACTATGCCCCCAAAACAACAGTAGGAATTAAAACCAGGCTCCTAAAAGATTTCTATTTGCCAGCAGCAGCAATTTACAGTAATACTACCTTACATCTGAATAACCCTCATGCTGTTTAAATGACAAAGGAATTTGCAGGGTACATTCTCTTACCTGGCCCAGTGCATGATTCTGAAAGAGCCAGCTGGTATAGGCCACTTCCAAAGAATCACCAACTTCCACAGCAGGACCCTCTGTTACAATGAGGTCCTGTGATAGCACTACATCCAGGGAAGAGGTGCTGTTGCATTTGGCAATGCACACCTGTGAGACAAAATCGAAGCAGCATAATCTTAGTTTAAGCTCAGATAATACACTCCATTTTTGCTAATGTTCTTTTCCAATCAGCAGTGTCCACTAACAAAACAGACTGCCAGTACATGTTTAGAAGTAAACCATTCCAAAGTCAGTAATCTTGCCAGGAATTAAAGTGTCTAAGAGTGTGGCTTTGAAGTCAGACTGAGTACGCATCTGGGTTTACTAACTGGCACTTATTAACATGTGGACTGGGCCACGTAACTTAAACTCTGTGACCCTTATTTCAGAGGTTTTTATGTAAAATGGAGATAAAACTTTGCAATCTCTCCTAATGTAGTTAGAAAGACTGAACTGAATCAAGTGGAGTACTAGGCATAGTACCTGGAAAATAACGGTAAGCACACCTAAATGGTAGCTATCATTACCGTACTGGTTTACTGCTGCAGAGTTTGGAAACCTAGGCAAGACAGAGAGCTTAAAAAAACATACAGAAAGCATTTTTGAGAATGTAGAAACTTCATTGCCTTCATTGTAGAAACCACGCAGAAACTTCATTTTTTAATGCGACCTTTTCTCCTTTCTTTCCTTTTGATTCACACTGGCCTCATCCAGCACCCTGCCTCACCTGCCTCGTCCCGTGCACATCCACTTCATCATTGATCCCTCAAGACAATGAGGTTCTGGTAAGCATTAAACAGTCTTAGGAACAAAGTCTTAGTCTACTGACTGCAAACAGAGTTTCAATCAAACTAAAGATAATATCTAGTCCTCAGTTTTGTTTCAGCTCCAGACCCAGAAAAGCAGTGAAGCCGGAGGAAGTGGCACCATAGCTGACAGGAGGACCAGGTGCACTGATCAACTACCTCCCACCCTGACGGTGACCAGTCAGTAGGGACCACAACCCCAAATGCCTCAGTCCCCTATGCCACCCACCTCATAGGAGTCGTGGGGAAGCCAGGTCTTTGAGCACTGGCTCACCTGTGACTCTGCGCATGGCACCTCTTCCTCAAGTAGTAAACATGGCACCTCAACATGACACCTCTTCCTTACTTTCTTTGCTGCAATCTCCTATTTGTGTGCTATTGGGCTTTGATGTGTGCAGGCAAATGAGCACCTTTAGTAGGGTAACAAGAATAAACTGGGGGGAAAAAGGCCCTTTAAAAAACCATGTTGAATTCCCATAATTTATATCTGCACTACCTACAGTTTTAGCCATATTATCTTAGCACATATCTTAGACAAAGAAATCAGCAACATCATTATGAATAATTATTCTATAGTTTTTTATGGCATAGCATTTTAGTTAATGTTTTACCACAGCATACATTAGAAAGCTGCTACTCATTTTCTTTTAAAAAGTTTCATTATTGTACTCAAACAGATGCTAACTAAACCAATGAAATGTCATTTTTTACCAAGCAAATAAGACTTAAAAAACAAAAAACAAGATAACTCCAAATGCTGGCACAGGTACAGTGAGAGAACCGACAGGACTGTAAGGTAGTACTCTCTCTCTCTGCAAAGCAGTGTGCCAAAGTGCACAGAAAATCTAAAAAATCTGAACCCTTTGACACAATCTTTACTTCTAAAAATTCAGCTTAAGAAAATAATCAGGTGGAAAAAAGACTTAAATGCTCACTATAGTATCATTTATTTAAAAGACTGAAACCAATCTAAATGCCTAAAAGCAAGGGAATGCCTAAATAAACTTAAGGAGCATTCATATTATTAAGCTTTCAAAATGTTTCCAAATAATGAGGTAGAAAAAGATATATCATACATTATTAAATAAAATAAGCAAGATATAGAACTCTTAAAGGAATGAATCAAAATATGCATTATGGGTCAAAAAAATAACATGTTAGTAGTGGTTATTTAGGGTAGTAGGATTATAAATGATTCTTTAAAAGTTTTCCCAAACTTTTTACAATGATCATGTAGTAACCCTTAAACAATTCTTTTTTTTAAAATAATTTTATTTAGTTATTTTTCAAGTACAGTTTTTTGTCTATTTCTCCCATCCCAGCCCCACCCACCCCGTGCTCCCCACCTCCCTCCCATTTCCACCCCCCTCCCAGTTCTCATCCCTGTGTCCTTCATATTTGTTCCTCCAAATCCCTCCCCCTTTTCCCCCTTAAATGCCCTTCCCTCTCCCCTCTGGCCACTGTCCCCTTGTTCTCTATTTCAGTCTTTGTTTTTATTCTGCTTCCTTTAAACAATTCTTTTAAAACACTTTTTAAAAAATAGTTATACCCATTCCTTAAGATAATTTATGAAGTGAAAATATTTTAAAGAACTAAGTTTACATTTAGCCTTTTTTTCTCTTAAAGTCTCATTTTCAAGCAATTTGAATTAAGTACTCCTATTATTTCCCTAAAATACAATAAGCTCAGGTGACGAATTTAGTGGGTTTTTTATGCTTGGCCATTAACAAAGTATAGCATATACTTTCCTCAAATCAAAAGAAATCCAGACTAGTGTTTGGTTGTTCACAGGAAGGATACCATGGTCTTACCTGTTTATTGAATTCCACAGCAGCCTTTTCTGACTCAAACATGATGGACCAGTTTTGCCTTTGGTCATCATAAAAGGTGCTATAGTTATTGGGCCGAACCTAGGGAAAGGAAAAATGTTGGTATAACTTAACTATAGGCAGCAGAGCAGATACATCTGACTGCCTAAACTGATAGAAGAGGGCCCTGACCAAGATGGACCCAAAGAAAGATGTCAGGGAACTCTCTTCTTCCCTCTCGCCTTCCATCAATCCCTCAGTCCACCTTCCCAGAAGGCAGCCAAAAGACCTTTCCAAAAGGCTCTGTTAAAGATACGCAGTCTGACATCCAGGGCTGAAGCAACCAATCTAATTCCCACCAGGTATGCACAGACCACTCCCCCCTACAACCCTATCCCAAGGGGGTTAATGATTATAATACAGGAAGTCTTACCATTAGCTCAAAGTTCAGGTGAATCCTGGCCACAGTAACTGGCTGTTGCTGACTGATGTAAAGAAGGATCTTATACTGTACTCAAGCAAAGATGGGCATAAAAAAAGAGAGAAGTTAAAAGACAATACAAAAATCAGCAGTAAGATGTCAGGGATTGTGTTTCATACATGTATAAAGCTCAAAACTCAGTTAATCCCTTACAGGCTGGATTTTAAATGATACCTTCTCACTACCCATTTTATTCTCTTTTTATTTGGCTTTACTCTTTAACTGTAATTAGCAATGTCCTTATTTTGTTCGTGTTTTCATTTATACAAGGGGTGACTAAGAGACAAATAAATGGCTAACGGGAGCATGAGAAAATGCTCAACATCATCAGTCACTGGGGAAATGCAAATTAAAACCACAATAAAGTGCCACGTCACAATTAACCAAAATGGCTATTAAAAATAACTGAAAAATAACAAAGTGTTGGAACCCATGTTTCTTATAAAAATGTAAAATGGTAGGTTGCTGTGGAAACAGTCTGGCATTTCCTCAAAAAGCTAAATATAGAATTACGTTATGACAGCAATTTCACTCCTAGTGTATACCCCAAAAAAAGAAAAGAAAAAGAAAACAGGGACTCAAACATATACTTGTATACCAATGTTTACTGCAATTATTTATAATTGCCAGTAGCTGGAAACAACCAAGTGTCTGTCAACTGATGAATAGATAAACAAAATGTGTTATATATACACAATGGAATATTACTTAGCCATGAAAAGAATGAAGTTGTGATACATACTACAACATGTATGAATCTTGAAAACATTACACTAAATATAATAAGCCAGTCATAAAAGGACAAATATTTTATGATTTCACTTATGTGAATTATCTAGAATAGGCAAATTCATAGGCCCAGGATGTAGATTAAGGTTCCCAAGGGATAAGGGAAGCAAGGTTGGGGAATTATAGATTTACAATCACAGATTTTCAGTTTCGGTTGATGAAAAAGTGGAAACAGACAGTGATGGTTGCTCGATACTATGAATGTAATTAATGCACTAAATTATACACTAAAATATGGTTTAAATGGCAAATTTTATGTTTCATTTACCATATGCACACATACAAACCAATTGCACAAATGATTAAAATTCAACCCCAGAGGGGAGGATGAAACTATGAGGGCTCATACATACACAATCCTGCGCCAGAAGGATCTTTCCTTAGCTATGTTAGACAGGTAGAGTGAGGGGCTCATCACCTCAATGCAATCCAATCACATATCAAACTGGTCAGGGAAGGATCATAGATTTATTAAGGGTCACTCCACTTTAGGGCTGTCCCTATTCTCAAGCATTATCTTCCTGGGCTTTTCATTGAGAGCCTGGAATATCTCTGACTACGCTGGCCTGCTGTTTGCCCATCAGAGATTCTGAGCTGAGTTCTTTAGCCTCCTCCCTAAGAAGTTCAAAATTTAGCAAATGTATTGAGAGGAAGGTCATTCCATACAGGTTCTCGTCTTATACTAGGACTTTATGTCCTGTGCACAAGATTGCACAAGATTGCGCAAGTTTCCCTGTGCCTTTCCGGTAGAGCCCCTGGACTTCTGAACTCAGCAATGCCCTAGGGAAAAAGAACCAATCTTGCTTTTAGAGAAACTCTAGTTTTTGCCAATGCCTCTTGCGCCCCACTGTCTCAGTGCTTGGACCATACCCGATGTTTAGTCCACACTTAAGTATCAGCAGAAGTTTCAAGGAATCACTCAACTCATTGTCTCTTTCCTCTCTGAAATTTTAGTTCATCTAGTTCTCATCATTTCCACAGCTCAACAATGAATTTTAAAGGGTAATTTTTGCAGCAATTTATCTCCTTTTCAATAATTGTTATAGCAGAAATGTTTTCTGCCACAACCTACTACACCCTACTTGGTAGTGAAGGTTGGTAAAGTCCCAACATCAGATTTTTATGATATAAATGGCAACCCCTAATGAACGGATCTAAATAATTATCATTGAAGGCTGCTAACATGAGAAACAACCAAACTTTATTTACTTCCAGATGGAAAAATGAAACAGACTTAAGGGACGGAGTGACTAACTGCAATATATGGCCCTTATTAGATCCTGTTTAAAACAAACTTCAAAAAAAATTAAGGAAATATGAACACTAGCTGGTAGTGAATGGTCTAAAAAAATTATTGTGGGTGATTTTTTTTTAGGTATGATAATGAAATAATGGTTGCATTTTTAAAAATCCTTTTCTTTTAGCCCTGGCTGGTATGGCTCAGTAGAATGAGCATGGGCCTATGAACCCAAAGGTCATTGGTTTGATTCCCAACCAGGGCACAGTCAGGGGGCATACAAGAGGCAAATGATTAATGTATCTCTCATACATTTCTCTTTCTCCCCCTTCCCTCTCTTCCCCTCTCTCTAAAAGTAAATAAATAAAATATCTTAAAAAATCATTTTCTTTAAGACATACATACCAAAATATTTATAGCTAAAATTGTATACTGGAGATTTAGTCAAAACAATCCGAGTGGGATAAGAAGGGAGACTGGCTTGGTTTAACTGCTAGAGCCTAGTAATGGGTATCTGGGATTCATTATTCCAGTCCTATTTTTATGCTTCTAAATTTCCATAAATAAGTTTTTTGTTTGTTTTTAGTACAAATGAGAATTGGGTACATTAGCTGCCCTGAACGGGTCATTTTCTATCTCTGTGTCTGAGTTGCTGAGGAGTATGGAATCCATGCTCTCTGGACCTCCGAAATTCTCTAATTTCTTATGCTCATTTCAACAATTTTCAAAATCATTTGAAGCAGAATTTGAAGCTAGATACAACCCACACAAGTAAATCAGTCTCAGGGCTTCTAGCCACATCTTCTTTCTGATCTAAACCAGTATTTTACTGTGTTGTCCATCTCATTATTAAAATTCTGAAGGATAAATACTGGTCATTAATGCAGGTACAAAGACATACTGCTCTAAGTAGTATACTAAGTGTTGCTCATTACCTTACAAAGAGAGGTCCCTAGTGAATGGTTTACTCTGAAACTCCAAATGCGTAAGCTAGGTCCATATCACATCTGTTTTAATGCACAGTAGTAGGGAAAGACTATAAATGTACCTAATATTAAAAATTAGCACTCAGAACAATCATTCTAATTCTCTGAAACACGAGACACTGGGCAAGCCCAGAGGAAAGGCAGTTCTATCAATATGACCTGGGGCACCTGAATGTACATGAGATGCGGGGCAATCTCACCTCTCTGGCTGTGTGATTTCCCAGGACTGCAGCACCAAATTTGCCCTGCTTTACATATTGACCATTTGTGCTACAGAAGGAAAAAAACAACAGGTATTAGTACTTCCTTAAACTAAGCAGAACCAGCTTTATTTTCTGCAACATAAAAACGGGAAATCTAGTCATTCAGCCTCTAGAAAGGACTGGAGATGAACAGTTTACAACTTAAAGCTTTTACACAACATCTTTACTCTTTAAGTATCTACTATTCATATCTTAGTGTAGTAGCTTTCTTTGAGCACTTGGAAAGGCAGTTGTTGAGGGTATAAGCACTCTGCAGGGGAGAGAGGGAGGGACGAAGGAGAAGAGACAATGGCTCTTTAAAGTTTTATGAGAAGTTGGAGAACTCAAAAGTTAAAATGCATGAATGGTACTTTTGCCAGGGAAAGGCTGAGTAGCTGTTTTGCAGTGCACAGAGGCTTACACTGAGAAGGCAGGAGCTTCACCCACCCCCAACTTCAGAAAGTGCTCCTTCTCGGCTACTTACTATCTGTAGGCATGGACTGCTGTTGCAACCAATACCGTGGAAGTGCCTGTTGAGGTGGGTGCTGTTTTTGGTGTCGCCTGATTTCCTGAAGATGAAAAAGGAAGCAAAGTTGTCAATCATTTCTTGATTGAAACCGTGGTTTTTTTTTTAAACTATTAAAGCTGCTTCAAAATTCTTCTTCACAGAATTCTTCTTTACACCCTACAGTTAGTGTTAAAATGCTCTCATGACCATTATCATCATTTGATCCATAAAACAGTGGTATGAGCTCATCTGGGGATGAGAAAACCCAGGCTCTAAGCACTCAAGTGCTTTATGCAATGGTAGCAGCAAGCCTAGACTAGAACCCAAGACTCTGACTTCACTCCAAACAAGAATTTGGGGCTGGGCAAGAAGTGTTACCTAGAAAATGAGGTCAAATTCTATCTACTTTCTTTTCCCCTTCCAATATTTTGACCACTTTCATAAATGAAAATGAAACTATTTCTCCTTCCCTTACTTCTGGAATACAGAACGTATAATACTCAGGTCACAGCCATTACTTACCTTTCACGGTGGTATAAGAGTCATTCCAGTGTTTTGAAATAAGGGTATATTTAGATGAGTCACATATTTACACTCACCACATGAGTAGTGAGACATAACAACCAAGAATTTATTTTCAAAAGCATCCTTGTTTTTTTTATTTTGCACTGATAAAAAAACAAGGCAACAGGCCCCAAATAAAGTCACTTATGCTAAACTCCACATAACCAAACTGAGATTTAATTCCAGTTTGGCCCTCCCAGAAATGGAAGCTTAAGCCAGTAATTGCCTGATCAGCACTAGTGAGGTAATACGCCTGAAGACCCGCTGCCACCCCCTAAGGGGAAGTAAGCTGGCAATAAGCAACCCGCCTCTTTGCCTAATACAACTTCTTTGTTCCCGCTCCCTTCTGCTTACAAGTCTTCCATTTTGCACAGCTCCTCGGAGCTCCTCTCAGTTACAGTGGATGCTGCCTGATTCAGGAACTGCTGAATGAAGCCAGTAAGATCTTTTACATTTTATCCAGTTGAATTTTGTCTTCTGAATTGTGTATTGACACTTTTTTCTGATTGTGGAGTACATATACATTGTAGGAACTTAGCAAATACAGAAATATAAAGAAAATAAAAACTTTTTTTATGTTTATGAGGTTACAGGTCTGTAACCTCACCACCCAAATAAGTGTTAATAGTTTAATGTATTTATTCCTATTCCTTTTTCTATACACATAAACCCTGCAGCTTTGTCTTTCTGAAACAAAATTAATAATATAATGACAACCTCCTTGTCTCTTTTTCTCTTAATTCTTTCTTTCTTTTAAAAGATTTTATTTATCTTTAGAGGGGAAGGGAAGGAGAGAGGGAGAGAAATAGGAATGTATGGTTGCCTCTCCTGCATCCCCTGTCGGGAACTGGCCTGCAACCCAGACATGTGCCCTGACTGGGAATCGAACTGTGATCCTTTGTTTCGCCGGCCCGTGCTCAATCCACTGAGCTATACCAGCCAGGGCCCTCCTTTTCTTACTTAGCATAGGCATTTCCTTTTATTCTTCAAAATGTCCAAAACAAAAGACAAAAGTCCTAAAAATGTTTTTAGTGGCTACATAAAATACTGCATTATCACGCTACCAAAATATATCCAATTTTCTATTGTTTGATATATCTTTGAGCCTCCTCCAACTTTTCTGTATTACAAATAATGCTATAGTAAGCACTGCTAAAATGCACATTTTTGTCTGTACCTCCTATTATTTTCTTAGAAAATTTTTCTAAAAATGGAACTGGGAGATGAAGGAGCATCATAACGTTTAAGGGTATGTCACATTCTGCCTAAATGCCCTTGACAAACGCCACGCCGCTTTACGCTCCCACCAGCTGTACGAGTCTCCCAGCTTTGCATCCCTGACGATGTGAGAAAATAATCTTTTTAAAATTTTTACTAATGGGAGGCAGGAAATAGGGAAAGGGGAAAGTCACCCCACTGTTGCTTTCATTTGCATTTATTGTTTACAGGGAAGCTGAAATTTTAACATTTTCTATAAACTTATACACTGAACATTTGCTTTGTTTTGATGAATTGTCCACTTATATCATTCACTTATTTTCTTAGCCTGGTGTTCACATTTTCCTTACTTTTTAGTAAAACCCTACAACTAGTTTTTACCTTATTCAGCACTTTCCAGCTATATGTAATACTATAATATTATCAAACTTTTCTCCTGATACACAGTGTATGACAGGAAAAAAGTAACTAAGGCCAGAATGCGCTTATCGGGGCAAGTCTGAAACATTGAGGAAAACTGTCTCCTTGAGGTCGGCCTAGCATCCGTCTAGAGGATGGTTTAACTTCTCCCAGCACACCCGCACCTCCCTATCTAATGCCATGGACCAGGAAGGTGTTTGTGGGTTTGCTAGAGGGATAAGTGAGTCAGATGCTCACAATCACATGATCTTCTCATTGGCTTAGCATTTCGTTCTCTATGAATTCAGCATTGTACAGGTTTTTGAATTCCCAACTCATGAGGACTTTCTTTTAATGGTGTGTAGTTTCCAATCTCTTTTTTTAAGCAAAGTTTCATTTGTTTTTAGTGTCTGTTCTTCTTTCCCTACTTTATAGAAATGAAAATAAGTATATATTCATTCATGCATGTGTGTTTATATGTATATATCTAGACATATAAACACATACATTATATATGTATATGTATACATGTGTGCATGTGTATATATGTATGTGTGTGTACATATATACACATGTAATTTTTTTGCACCCATATGTTGGATCTTCTTTGCTATCTTCAATGTTTTTTACTTTCTTTTTAAACCTTCTCTTGATTTTACTTTTCAAACCTTCCCCGACTACTGTGGCTCAGTGGATTGAGTGCTGGCCTGTGAACCAAAGGGCTGAGGGTTCAATTCCCTGTCAGGGCACATACCTGGGTTTCAGGACAGATCCCCAGTAGGAGGCATGTGAGAGGCAACCACACACTGATGTTTCTCTCCCTCTTTTTTTCTCTCCTTTCCCCTCTCTCTAGAGTTAAGTAAATAAAATCTTTTTTTAAAAAAATGTCCTCCTATTGCCCTGGCTGATGTGGCCCAGTGGGCTGGAGCACAGTCCTGTACCCCAAACGGCTGGGGTGTCGATTCCAGGTCAGGGCACACACCTAAGTTTTCAGTTTGATCCCTGGACAGGGTGTGTCTGGGAGGCAACCAATTGATGTTTCTTGCTCACACTGGTGTTTCTCTCTCCCTCCCTTCCTCTCTCTCTAAAATTGAGACAGATATTTAAATTTTTAAAATAATTTTCCTCCTGCTAACCTTCTATTTCTCTTGAGGCACAATCTGTTATTTATTCATTCTCTTGTTCTAGTTTAGTCTTCATTACTGAAATGATTTTTTTTTACATCTCTAATTCTTGTCTGAGTCCTGCTACTTACTCTTAGATATTCTAATTTGCATTAATCTTCTCATCTCAATGTCTTATGTTATTTTCTTAATGTTAGTAAGTGGTTATAGTTTTGATCTGCTCAGTAAGAAACATTCTCACTGAATGGAGCTTTCACTGTAGAGATACTGTTCTGTTCCTTGCTCTCTTTGTTTTTAAACTAGTTTTGCACAGAGTTTGATTCTGAGACTTTTCTATTGCTCATTTTTACTTGAAATTTGCTTTTCTTAACTCTTAGGAGGTTCATGGTAGCTTCCTAAATTCACAGAGCTCCCCCTTCTTTTTTTTTTTTTTGTGTGTGTGTATAAAGTTCAAAAATAGTGTGGATTCCTCCTGAGACTTTCTGACTCCACTTCTATCCTTATTCTCACCTGGATCTTCTCTCCTTCATTTCTAATATCTCTGTCCTCCTCGATGTTAACTCCACTCCCGGCAGGTTCTTCTCATTGTGGGGACCTGCCCTGGAGGTCACCATAGTGGGCGAGGTTCCGAAGTTCACAGGAGCAAGAGTGCTGCAGTTCTTTTAGCCCCATCGCCAACCCCTTGTACTTACCCACAACTGGAGGGGGCAAAACACTTTCCAGTTCCACCCTGGCCTATCACACTTTCCGTGAATGCCTTCTGGCTAGTGTGGGGTTCTCCCACTCTCAGACTCAAACATCCTCCCACTGCATCCCTGTCTGCTTCCATGCAAATGCTGCCACCGTGCAAGCCTTGTGGTTGTCAGTGGTCTGTCCACACCTGCTTGTATGTCGGGGTTCATGAGGATACCTCTTCAACTGATTTTGTCGGAAAAATTTCCATATGTTTGTCTTCCATATGTATGTTTATATCTAGTTGCTCTGTTTTTATATTGAAATTTTGAAGAGATTCAATAACTATGCTGCAGTCATGTTCCCCACAAAGACTTCTTATAAAAACATCCCTTGAACAGTATGGTCTACTATATTGTTACTTTACTTTTTATTTGTACATGCCTAATAAGATTGTATAGGTAATTTTTAAGTTCAAATGCCTTTACAATACTTCTTTGAAGGTATAATGAACTCACAGTTGTTGTTTCCTGATTTAAAAAAAAAAATCAAGTTACTCCCCTGGGTGGCGCCTTAGGTTTATTTTTATCTATATCCATTAACTCGGTCACTTAAAATTGAGTCAGAAGTCCACAGCTGATGAAGAGATGTGCCAGAGGAAATGTAAAGGCACAGCCTACCAGCAATCTGGTCAGGTTATGGCCTGAAGAACAGGATCAGCAATTCACTGCAAAGCTGCCAAAAGTGACAGGTAAGATTTAGAGCAGGGGTCAGCAAGCATGTTCTTTAAAAGGCCAGAGTAAAGCCCTGACTGAGGCTCAGCTCAGTGGACTGAGCACCAGCCTGTGAACCAAAGGGTCACCGGTTCAGTTCCCAGTCAGGGCACATGCCTGGGTTGCAGGCCAGGTCCCCAGTGGGGGGCACTCGAGAGTCAACCACACATTGATGTTTCTTTTTCCCTCCCTTCCCCTCTCTAAAAGTAAATCTAAAAAATATTAAAAAATAAAGGCCAGAGTAAAATATCTTAGACTTCATGGGCCATATGGTAACCATTACAACTATTCAGCTCTACTTATCCTAACACCTTCATTTGTACATGCGCCAGCATTGTGCCTAGCATGTAAAAGGCATGCAACGCTGTCATCTTCATTCAACAAATATTCCATGTCCCTCACCACCTGTTCAGTGCTGGCAGCTCAGGGCTGTTTCCATCAGTCCCTCTCTCCTCTTCAGGCTCTTACACAAAGACAGCAAAGTATAGGAGGGAAGAAAACCTTTGGAGTGAATCAGATCAGTGCTTGAACTTCAATCTGGCATTTACTGCTGCACGATGCTGATCGAGTCCCTAAACTTCTGAGACTCTAAAATGATGGTAGTCTCACCTTTATCACAGAACTGAGAATTAAATAAGGAAATAGATGTAAAGCACCCAAGACTGGACACATAGCAGGCATTATTAGTCCCCCTTCTCTCTTTTCCTTCAACGAATGTTCAATTTTCTTTTGTGTCCATCATGATGAAAGGTACAGGGATACAGCACTGAGCGTCACTGCCTAGTTAGGAAATACTTGTTGTCATCATACATCAAGGTAAAAAAAGTAATAAGCAGCTCTTCCTTCTCACCAGAACACTGGACAGTACCTACTAAGAGGGCCCTGGGCAGAGATTTTGAGAGTGGTGTCCACAATGGGCAGAATGGCTTACCTGTGACCTTTCTTCACCAGTTTCCAACAAAAGACACACTATCCAGCTGCTAGAATTGGTATCTCAGAACTCAGAGAGGCAGACTGATCTAGGAGGAACAACCTGGCATACCTCTGTGGGAAGGTTGTTACTTTCAAATAATTTGGTAGGGTCTAATCCTAACCTCTTAACTTACCTGCTGTTGCTGTTCCCTGGCCCTTCTTAGGCTGCTTTGGGGCTGTGTACTGGAAGAATTCATTTCCATGGCCAGCAGCTGTCTGATCCAGTCCAAAAAGAGAAGCCAATCTGGCACTGTCAGTAGAAAATGAAAATAACATTTCATTTGTCATATCTCAAACCTGGTATCATCTCACCTGCAATCTTGAATACCTCCTTGACTGTATATCCCACCATTCAATAATAAAAGTAGAAGACAAGTGTCTTTGAAATCAAGATTGTATTTGGATCGGGACACCATCGGCTGACCTTACCTGTCCACAAGATTTTAGTCAAGGCATTTCTTTCTGGACCTCAGTTTCTTGCATCTGTAAATTGAGGCGGTTGTTCCAGATGCTATCTATGCTAGTCCAGAGGCTAGTCTCTTTAAACTGTAAATTCTTGCCTTTAGCAAGTCATTGTTTCCTACTTCATACTAGTTTATTAAATTGAAAGAAAGCTGTACTATGAAGTTACACCATCAAACACGGTCCTGTCTACATTTCACCCAACAGGCAGAACCATTCTTTTATCACCCCTTGCAATGAAGCTTATGTCCCAAATATTCCAATGAAACTGCTTTTGCAAGGATTACCACCCACCTCTTTGTTACTAAACATAATTTATCAGTCCTTATCTGATTTGGCCTTCATGCTGCCTTTTTACACTGTCAACTAATTTGTTCTTCAAACAAAATCTTCCCCTAACTTCTGTGGGGATACCGTGAGTTAGGAAGAGGGACAAGCTCAAATAAGATATCAATAAATGTTAAAGACGCCCATTTCATGTCTTCCGATTTCTCTGGATCCTTGCAATCTTTCTCCTTTGCTCAACCCTTCAATGTCTATGCCCCTAAGATTTTATACTCCCTCACCCCTGGCAATCTCATTTATTTACCTTGGTATCAAGTGCTAGCCAAATGCTGATGATGCTCAAATCTGCATCCTCAACCCAGAATTTGCTCCTGAGTACCAGACAACACAGATATCCCACAGGCAACACAAATGCAACAGGTCCAAACCAGAACATCTCTCTTCCAGTCCCCACTGCCCCAGCAAAACCTGTTCTTACTCATCTGCTTCCTCTCTAGGTGAATGACATTTTGTGTTGGACTAACACCAGGTTCGGTGATTTATTAGAAGGGCTCCTAGACTTGGCATATAGTTGTACTCGTGGCTAAGATTTATTACAATGAAAAGATACAGAGCAACATCAGCAAAGGGAAAGGCACGTGGGACAAAGTCTAGAGGAAACCAGAGCAAGCTTCCAAGAGTCCTCTCCCAGTGGAGTGACACAGAACACATTTAATTTCTCCAGCGATGAGCTGTAACATGTGTGAAGTGTAGTCTACCAGGGAAGCTTATTAGTGACTTAATTTCCACAGGCTTTGAGTCTCTAGGGGCTGAGAAACAGAAACCCTCTAGCAGGTACCTAAATTCTAGATTCCCAGAAAAAACACAAGGTTCATGAATCATTTTGTTTGTACAAACGGTTTAGACAAGCGAGCCAATCTTGTCATTTACGGAAAGCTTTATTATCAAGGTGGGAAATGTTTACCAATGAAGTTCCCAGATGTCAGCCAAGGGCCAACCTTGTAAGCAGGGCTTTCTAAGGGTAATGGTTTCAGTTCTACTAATTTGTCTAGTTGGGCAAAATTCACTGTCACCATACACCTACCGCATCAAGGTGAAAGAAGTGAAAAGCGGCTCTTCCTTCCTGCCAAAACACCAGTTAATTTATAATTTTAAAATAAATGTCCTCCAATGCATTCATAGTTGCCAAAGTCTTTATCTAGCCTTAGTTTTTTTTTTTACTTTTAAAGATTTTATTTATTTTTAGAGGGGAAGGGAAGGAGAGAGGGAGAGGAGTATAGTTTTATACTCCTTTTCTCATCAAAAACAGTAACTGTATTTATGCTACATCAGCATATTTTAATAAACGGGGGTTCTTTCTGTTGGTAAAGTACTTCTTTTATGAACTGTGGCATCAAACATTTACTTCTAAAATAATGATAATGGCACATTGGTAGTCTGGTGGCAATCTGCTTGCCTGATTTCAAATTCAGGCTCCTTTAGTTTTTAGCTGTGTGACACTGGCAATTTACTTCTCCGATCCTTAACTTCCCATGTATAAAATGGGTATAATAGTAAAAACTACCTCACAGAGCAGCAGGGAAAAGTAAATATGATAATGTATATGTATTACTTAGAAGGATGTGCAGTGCCTGGCATTAAGTACACCAAATGTTTTAAATCATGTGCACACATCCTTAAAATATTAATTCAACTCAGATACCCTTGCAGAGAAGTAAGCTTAATGGATGCACAAACTGACCTGCAACTACGAACTGATATTAACAAGAAGACAAAACTAAAGAACTGGGAAGGGTCTCCCAGATCATCTAGAGAAAAGCCCATTATTTAACAGACTGGAATATGGAGAGCCAAGGAGAAAGAAGTGACTTACCCAAAGTCACACTCCTAACTAGAGGCAGAATCAACATTAGAACCTAGGCTTTTCTGTGTCTTTTATGGAACTTAAAAATGCTTTTTGATGATCGGTACGAGGTTTATCTTTTTCTACCTTTATACTGGTGATTTATCATTACTCTGCTAATCTGAAACACAAGCGTACACATAACTGGCCCCTTAAAAATGCTTTGTGATTTTTAATACTGGACTGATTTTACTCTACTAAATTGAAAGTTTCTTAGGAGCAGGAACTGTGCCTTATTCCCATGTGTATTAGCTAAAGCCAAGGACCATATACTTAGCAGGCATTTACATACTTGTTTATTTCAAAGTCACAATGGTGGGGAGAGGGCTAAATCCAAAAAAAAAACAAAACCCCAAAACAAAAAACCCACCAAAAATACCACACACTTCCTGATTACTACTTCAGGGTTACCCATGGACTTTAAGAGCCCTGGAAACATGGAACACAGATTATCGGTCATCTAGATAACCATCCTAGGCACTAATACTCCCTTTTCTATTAGGCTGGAATATCCTAAATGGAATGAAGGAAGTCATATAATGAAGCCAAGATACTTAAAAATTAATAAGCACAGTTATAAAGGAGGAAGTGAAAAGCAGCTACAGTGCTTACTGTCATATGTTCTACTTCCTTAGATAAAACGCTGCAGGAAAAGCTGAATCAGAGAATGTTGGTGCAGCTTTCTACACCCTCAAACTTAAATCTGATTTTTTTCTGGTTATTACTGTGAACAAAAATAAGGTATCTGAATAACTTTGTTTACTAAGACTTTCACCATTAAACTAGCTGTTGTCTATGTTTATGAGCACAGTCACACACTTAGAAATAAAGTGTTTGAAGTCCTCTGGGCCTGCTGTGGAAAGCAGCAAAGCTGAGGCACCAAGACCTATCTCGGGCCAGGAATCTGGAAAAGAGCACACGACTGTCATTTTTCACCCTGTAATTTTCCGTCAGCAGTCCACTGCTTGTTGCACGAAAGGTGAAAGCCCTAACTTTCATTGACGGACTTCCCCAAATACTTCCACCTAGTGAAGAATGTAAATTTAAAGTATATCTTGTAAACTTTCACAAGACACAGCTATATACAAACAAAACAGGTTTTATGAAAAAACATTACTTTAAAAAGTATACTACACAGTCAAAATCAGCAAGTTGGACTGTGAAAACATTTTGGTGAATGTTTTGGGTGGAATAGGGAAAATATGAATCCAAGCACAGCTTCACTCTAAACTATCTGAGGAACTGAAAGAACCTGAAGTGAAACTAAGTGGATGAAGGCCATCTAAAGTGGGGGTAGGTAGGCATGAAAAGAGGATTTAAGGATAGGAGCATAGAGCTAGTCACAGTGTAAGTTAAAAGACAGCCAGTATCATTTTATGTATGGAATCTCTACCAGGACTGGAAGCAACTTGAGGGCATGCACAGCAGCTTAAGCATCTTTGCAACTTCTTGGCACTTAGTGGAATGAGGGGAATATATTAGTGTATTCATCATTCTTCAGTACATTTCTTAAACTTGTTAAACAGAGATGTTCAACAAAAAAAAGGCTATGCAAAGGTCAGAACTTGGCAGGTCACAAGTCTGAAGGGAGTCCAGCTGTCTGCTGACACAACACAAGGGAAATGGCTGAAGTGATCCAAGTGGCTAGAAGCTGCCGCTTGAAGAACTTTAGCCCGGGCTAGTGACTGGGGGCAGAGGATAACGACAGCAGCCTCTTAGATTGGTTTTTAAGTTTTAGAGTGCACTTTTCACAACCATTATTCTTTCAGCAGGTACTCACTGTGTGTCAGACACTAGGCCGAGCGCTGGGCAGAGATGAACAACATAAGAGGTCTCTGTCATGTCAGCGCTCTTAATCTAATAGTAGGTTGGGTGTGCAAGGACAGAGATAATCACTCCTAGTTGTGGGACTAAAGAAGAGAAAGCAACTTTTTTCTGCCTGGAGCTGTGGAAGAAGAGAAAGCACAAAAAAGGCCACATCCGAGATAAGCCTTCAAGGATGCTGGACCTGACTCACCAGGGCTAATTCTTAAGTGTCCACCCAGGAGAAAAGTCTTACACAGCCCCAGGTGGCTCCTATGAAGCACTCTGAGACAGGGTATTCACACCAGCAATCACCCTCATTTAACAGAAGAAACTGCAAAAGCAAAAGGCGAACCCAGGGTCATACTGCGTGATCCGGGGAGATGCCAGGCCCAGAACGCAGGTGGACAGACGCAGCAGTTCCGAGCTCTGCCAGGATTGTATGATCTGTACCTAGAGTACCGAAATGTGCAGGGGTCTGGACCCGGAAGTTGGTCAGAGGTCTGATAAGAGAACGACCCCTCCAACCACGTGCTCGCCTTCTTCAGCCACGCCCTCTACCCCTCAGTCACTCACCCGCCGCTAGGCGAGAGGAAGTCGGTGTCATCTTCGTCCCCCGCACCGAGCATCATGCTTGCTTTCGCCCGGCAACCGGGAGGGAGTAGGAGCGTTTCGTGGGCGTTTAGCCGCCGACGTCGTGAAATGCCGCGGCGGCGTGCTGCTTTCCGGCAGGGCACACTCTGGCATGTTTTCTCAGTGGAGAGGAGACACAAGGTTTGGGGAGGGTAAAGGGGAGGGCCTCTGGAGCACGCGCGCCGCGTGACGTAAGCTTCTCCAGCTCTGAGAGGCGGTGAAATCCGCGGGAGCTCCGAAGTTCTGCTCAGGGATTGGCCAATGAAGCAGGGGGCGGAGCAGCGGCAAATCGGCGGCCTTGGTGGCAGTGTTGGACACGTCGAGCGGGTCAGAAGTGGAGGGGGCTTCTGAAGAGTCGCGAGGGGCTTACGGGTTAAGGTTCTGGAAGGGAGGCGCCAGTGGCAGAACTCGATCTGGGAAGGTAAGTCCTCCCTCGCCCTTCTCTCATCCCTGGTGCGAGCTCAGTTTTTTCTCCTCCGGGAGCAGGTCTGCCCACTCCACTCTTCTCGGTTTGGAGAAAGGAGAAAGGGCCCGGGATTGGCAGTCTGGAGACCTGAGCTGTCGGTCCGGCCCCAACAGTGACATAGCTGGAGTGACCTTGTGGCACGACGTTCCGTGCCTCAGTTTCCCCGTGCGTAAAACTGGTCTGACGCCCGGACCGCCAGTCCCCCTGTGGCCGACTTCACTAGCCAACGGGCTCTTTGTCCAGTGCTTCTGTGTGCCGGCGGCTCAAGAAGCTTTTAGGCCTCAGAGGTCATCGGATTCAATCCCCGTCTTCTCATAATCCCAGAATTTACAGGGAGGAGAAGAAGGAACCAAGTACTTGCTTGACTAGTCTGAGGTCACACAGAGCTAAGGACAGACGGGTTGTGTTCCTGGTCTCTTGCTTCAGGACTCGGTGAGCTAATGCAAGTTCTTCGTCAGCCCTCAAGCACTGTGTCCTCACGGAGTGGTTGCTAGACTGGCTACATCTTGAGAAAAGTCCTCCCTCTAGAGTCCATCCGTGCAGGTGAGGTGCAGGAGAGCTGGGATGTTCTGGCGCTGGGTGATGGAAGGAAGGAAACTTTAGAAGCCGAAAATCCCCAGCCCCAACCTTGGCTTGCTTAATCTTCCTGCCACAACCCCAGCCTTGGGTTTTGCTTAATCTTCCTGCCACATACCTAAATCAACATTATGTAAGTATTTCTTTGGTTAACCTGGTATAATTCTTAGAACAATTTCCACGTAGGCCTGGTTTAGCCAAGGTGTGGATAAGCAAATAATGTCCCACTGTTTGTGTCCATTTCCACAGATCTCTCTGGAGTTCTTTTGCTCCAGGCCTCTCTCTCAGTCTGGTGAGTACAATAGGTGCTCCTTACCCGCACGTTTTAATCTGTTAAATTCATTTCACAAAACTGAAGTGAAATGTTTGGTATCTCCCAGAGAACTTCAACCCTCTTGGCACTTCCCCTGTTATGCTTTTTATTATAATTTGTGAACTTCTAAATGGTAAACTTCTCAAGAACAGGGGATCGTTTTATTCATCTTGGTGTCTCTTGTGTCACAGAACACTATGCCTTCTTGCGCATAATGGGTTCTTATTAATTCTTTGTTAGGTTAAGTAATGGAATTCATCCTTGTTCCCTTATTCCTTAATTTACTCTCAGGATTTTCCCCTCCGTGGGACCCAGAGAGCCCAGCAATTGCTATGGCTTTTATAGGTAGCTTTCAGAAAGATAAAAATGCTGTACTAGCTGTGAACTGGCTGGGTTGCTCAGTGTCCTGTTAATTGAAGATGATTTGACTTTGTGTATCGCTCTGGGTGAAGGGAGGAAGAGGGAAATAAAATAGCTAGAAATATATGTAACTAATTTTTGTTGATGAAGTAATCCTCTGTTGAACTGAGGGGTAGGTCTGTTGTCTGCTTCCTGTGTTTATTTTATAGATTAAGATGGTTTAAGCAACAGAGGCTGATAGTGTTCAAGCAGTGATGCATCTGGAATCTAAGCACTAGAACAGGGACCCTTTACAGTAACTCTGTTTAGCATTCGAACTTGGTTCTCAGGAAATAAAAGCATGAACTGCCTAAGTAACATAGCTCTTTTTAACCCCTCTCCCCAGTTCTGGTCATTGTGATCTTAGCACCAAAGTATCTAGTGCTTTTAAAAAACACTATAAAGAATCTCTCGAGTGTTTATCTTGCATTCTTGAGTAGGGTGTTCTTATCTGTGGTGTTTAAGTAACACCCCTATCTATTGTTGAGATAGGCAGTAATCCTAAAATGTGGATCAGCCTTTTAAATGATAGGGACACCATAAATATGCCTGCCCAGATCACTATTGTGAGAACCCAGTTGCTGGTTCTGATTGGCAGTATAAGGAAATATGGAAAGTAAGGCTTCCTCAGTCTTTGAACTGCAGAATTGGGTGCTCCTAAAAAAGCCATGTCTTCCTTAATTAGAGTATTGGAGTCGGAATCAGGAAACCTGAATTCCCATCCCAAGACTTTCTAACTCACTCTGAGCTTGGGCCAGGCTCCCTAAACACTTTGTAAAAAGGAGTGGATTAGATCCAGACACTATTAAGTGCTGCTGGGGATGCAGAGGTAAGGCACAAACCTGTTCGAAATAAGCATTTTTGTTTGTACACAGCTTTTAGATGTATTTGTAAAACCCATTGGCCCTCTAAAGGTTAACCAGGAAGCGGCAGTTACAACAATTCTACTCAAAATCAGCAGTTTTGTTACAGAGATGATGATTTTCATATACAGATACACCCATACTAATCTGTACTGGAGAATTCATGTTAAAATTGATAGTTTAAAGTTATAACCAAGTTAGATCATAAGTGTGGTGGTAGGGATATGAATTGAATATAGTAGGTTGGGGGAGTTGGTATCGTGTTTTTTCTGTTCAGTCACTGAAAACAAAAATGCTAGAACACAATTCAGAAAATATTAACTGAAAACCTGCTGTGTGCTAGGTGTTGCCTAAAATAAGAAAATGAGTTAGTTATCAATAGTTGAGTAGCAGTTATCAATAGTTGGGGATAATTGTAGTATACAAACAGCCATAATAGAATATGTAGAAAAGGAAGTCCTATAAGTAGAAGTTAATTATTGTGGAATTTAAAAGGAAGAAATGATCATATCTGGTTCGGAGGAGAGTGTGGACTTAGAAAATGGGCTTTGAAAATGAGAGTGGTTCCAAGTGGAAGTGAGAAAATAAAACTTCCCAGATTGAAGGGGTGGTTTTGGCAAAAGCAAAAGGCAGGGAAGAAGGCAGAAATTTCTTAAAAGATAAGAGTTGCCCTCTTGTCTGTTGCAATTAGGATCTATAGTTAACTGAAAAAGTGAGTTAAAGTAGGGAGTCATACAGATATTAGTTACAGGCAGACCTTAAACATTTTACTTTAACTTAAAACATAAACATCTTGCCATTCTTAACATAATCCTCTCCTTGGACTGTAGGTCTCAGGGATCTGCAAAGTACAGCGTAAGGGCCAAGTCTTACCTAGTCTGCTGCCTGTTTCTGTAAATAAAGTTTTATTGGAACACAGCCAGGTTCATTTGTTTACGTACTATCTTTGATTGTTTTCAGATACAAAGTAGAATTGAGTGGTTATTTATGTCATCTTTACTAGTCTTTTCAAAGCTTTCGACTTGGTTTTCATAGAAACAACTACTACATTCCTAAGCTCTGGAGCCAAATTATTTTGCCATTTATTGGTTGTGCAGGCCTCAGACAAGTTGCCTACTTTCCTCCTTTTAAAACAAAGACAGTAATAGTATCTAGTTCCTACAGTTGCTGTGAAGATTATCTGAATTAATTCATGTAAAGCACTTAGAACAGTGCTTGGCAGGTATTAAGTTCTCAGTTAATTCTGGCTGCTGCTATTATTTTCTCTTCTCATTTATACTTCATTACTTTGTATAGTACTTTATTAAATTACATATTTACAGTAATTAGCACACTGACACAAGCTGGTTTGTGAACCCACACAGCTGATAAGATACCCTGTATTAGTGCCCCCTTCACTGGAGAGGGAGAGCAGGAGTGCTGCGTCCGTGGTATGGGATAGTGGCCTTGCTCACGTGCCATCAGTTACGCTGGTGACAAGGGTTCTGTGGGATAGCTTGCTGAGGGTATAAAACAACAGTGCACAGAGGTAAGGAGGGGATTCAAATCGAAAAGGAGACCAGGGCCATATTTGTCAATACCCCGAAGGCCAAGGTGACAAGTTCGTCCTTAGCTCTAAGTAAGATAGTGATGAAAAAAATTCAAATGATTTAGGAGTGTATGAAGTAAAAAGTAAAAGTTTCCCCATTCCATGTGAGCAGTAGCTACTTCGTTTTTCTAATAGTCCTTAGAATGTGGAGTCGTGAGGATTGAGACAAATCATGGTAAACGCTACTTGGGACGCTGGTATTAATCTTTTGAAAACCTCAGCTCTGTTGTTTTGGTGAGAGGAATCATATCAGTTTTGAATTGAGAAAAATAAAGGTTCTAGACTGAATGGGACTAAAATTAAATGACTTCTCTAAAGGTAACAGTTTGTACCATAGTCTGAAGAATCTCTGATCCTTAAGTCTGTTCATCTCCTTGTTTCAGTGTAGCTCTGCTGTTTATTCCTCTTTTACCTTCTTCACCAGAACTGCTACAAAAGAGGAAAAAGATATAATTATCATTGGAAAAACAAGTGTTTACAGTGACAAGATGGCTTCAGCTAGTAGAAGATGTCAGATAAGTCAGTGACCAAGTGGCATCAAGATAACTGCCAATCAGGCCTGGCTTGCTAGAGCCAGGCATGATTGGGGACCAGGAAGGGAGGGAAGAGGGTGGGGCGGGGTCCTGATGCCTCCATTCCCACGTGCAGCTGTTAGCATAATGTACCCGTTTTTAAAAATCAAAAGTTTTCTCTACTTTGTGACTAAGTGTGAGAAGTCATCAAGAGTCTGATACTTAATACACTAAAATGAGCAGTGTACGCCAAAAGAAATCTTATAGAAGGCATTGGGAAGGAAGTTCCGTTGCTTTGAGTTACATTTCATAATTTAGGTAACGTCCTGGAGCAGAGGAGGGCCCATTCTTAGGAATGCAAAGCCCTGCAGAGAAGGAAAGGGTTGAGGAGGGTCCACCCTACCTCTTTTCCTTTGCACAAAGACCCCAGGCTTTTGTAAACAACCTGCTTTTGTAGGCTGGGGACATTATGTAATACATCATAACAAGATGGAAAAAAAAGTGTTGCAAAAGAAATATGAGGAATGATTGGGAGGGA